GTACAACCCAGGGTTCCAGTGCAGGAAAAGAAAGATACAAAACCTCTGGCTGTAAAAACCTGTGGGGATAGTGGTAGTGTGAAAAACTGCCAGTCTCACAGGAGAGTCCATTGGAGGGATCTGTAGGGTCCTAAAATGTACACAAGCTCACCCACCCACACAGAAATTAGCACCAGGGCAGAATCTCAAAGGGCTCAATTCAATTGTGGGTAGCAGGGGACATGACTGAAAGTGGGGAAATAGCTGAGCAAGCAGCATTGTTCCCTCTCTGACCCCTTCCCCACATACAGCACCACAATGCAGCAAAGTTGGTCGCACAACCCTGGCAAATACCTAAGGCTCCAACCCTTACAATGTAACAGGTGTGCTGAGACAAAGAAATATGGCCCAAATGAAAGAAAGCTCAAAGCTCCAGAAAAAGAGCTAAGCAACCAGGAGATAGCCAAACTGTCAGATGCAGAATTCAAAACACTGGTAATCAGGATGCTCACAGAAACGATTGAGTACAAACACAAAATAGAGGAAAAAGTGAAGGTTATAAAAAGTGAAGTGAAAAATATACAGGGAACTAACAGTGAAGGGAAGGAAACTGGGACTCAAACAAAGATTTTGAACAGAGGGGAAAGAAACATTTAACTGGAAGAGAATGAAGAAACCAGAATTCGAAAAAATAAGGAGAGGCTTAGGAAACTCAGGACACCTTTAAAAAGTGTTCTAACATCCAAATCATAGGTGTGCCAGAAGGAAAAGAGAAAGAACAAGAAATCGAAAAGTTATTTGAACAAATAATGAAGGAAAACTTTCCCAACCTGGTGAAGGAAATAGACATGCAAATCCAGGAAGCTCAGGGAGTCCAAAAGAAGTTGGACTCAAGGAGCAACACACCAAGACACATCATAATTAAGTTACACAAGATTAAAAATAAGGAAAGAATCTAAAAGCAGCAAGATAAAAGGAGACAGTTATCTACAAAGGAGTGCCCATAAGACTACCAGCTGATTGAATTTTCAAAAGAAGCCTTGCAGGCAAGAAGGGGCTGGAAAGAAGTATTCAAAGTCATGAAAGGCAAGGACATACATCCAAGGTTACTCTGTCTAGTAAAGCTATCACTTAGAATGGAAGGGCAGATAAAGTGATTCCCAGATAAGGTAAAATTGAAAGAGTTCATTACCACCAACACTTTATTATATGAAATGTTAAAGGGACTTATCTAAGAAAAAGAAGACCAAAACTATGAACAGTAAAATGACAACAAACTCGCACTATCAACAACTGAACCTAAAACAAAAACAAATACAAACTAAGCAAAGAACTAGAAAGGAACAGAATCACAGAAATGAAGATCACACGGAGGATTATCAGCAGGGCAGGACAAGGGGAGAATGGGGAAAAGGTACAGGGAATAAGAAGCATAACTGGTAGCTACAAAACAGATAGGGGGAGGTTAAGAATAGTACAGGAAATGTAGAAGCCAAAGAACTTATATGTACGACCATGGACATGAACTAAGGGGGGCGGGGAATGCTGGATACAGTAGGGTTACAGGGTGAAGGGAGATAAAGGGGTGAAAAAAATGGGGCTACTGTAATAGCATAATCAATACAACCTACTTAAAATAAAAGAAATAAATGATACTTTTTCTGGTTAGAGTAATATTGGTTGTAGGTAAACTTCTCATCACTCTGAATATTTCTTGTCAATCCCTTCTGGCCTGCAAAATTTCTTTTGAGAAATCAACTGACTGAATTATGGGAGCTACCTTGTAGGTAACTATCTGCTTTTCTTTTTTTTTTTTAAGTATATTCTATTGACTATGTAATTACAGTTTTCCCAATTTTTCCTTCTTTATTCCCCCTCTGCCCTGAACCCCCAACCCTCTGACATTCCCCTCACTTAGTTCATGTCCATGGGTTGTACATATAATCCATATACAGAGTTCTTTGAATTCTCTGTTTACTATACTGTTGTTAACCTCTCCCTGTCTATTTTATGCCTTCCAATTATATTTCTTATTCCCTGTACCTTTCCCCCCATATTCCTCCCCTTCCCTGAAAACCCTCCATGTGGTGTCCATTTCTCTGATTCTGTTCCTGTTCTAGTTGTTTGCTTAGTTTTTGTTTCTATTGTTTTTCTTCTTCTCCTCCTCCTCCCCCCCTCCTCCTCCCCCTCCTCCTCCTCCTCCTCCTTCTCCTCCTCCTCCTCCTCCTCCTCCTCCTCCTCCTCCTCCTCCTCCTCCTCCTCCTCCTCCTCCTCCTCCTCCTCCTCCTCCTCCTCCTCCTCCTCCTCCTCCTCCTCCTTCTTCTTCTTCTTCTTCTTCTTCTTCTTCTTCTTCTTCTTCTTCTTTCCAGTTGTTGGTAGTTGTGATTTGTTGTCATTTTACTGTTCATAGGTTTTGATTTTCTTCAATTTCTTAGATAAGTCCCTTTAACATTTCATATAATAAGGGCTTGGTGATGATGAACTCCTTGAACTTGACTTTATCTGAGAAGCACTTTATCTCCCCTTCCATTCTAAATGAAAGCTTTGCTGGGTACAGTAATCTTGGATGTAGGTCCTTGTCTTTCATGACTTTGAATACTTCTTTCCAGCCCCTTCTTGCCTTTAAGATTTCTTTTGAGAAATCAGATGGTAGTCTAATTGGAACTCCTTTGTAGGTAACTGTCTCCTTTTCTCTTGCTGCTTTTAGGATTCTCTATTTATCTTTTATTTTGGGTAACTTAATGATGATGTGCCTTGGTGTGTTCCTCTTTGGGTCCAACTTATTTAGGACCCTCTGAGCTTCATGGACTTGCATGTCTAGTTCCTTCTCCGGATTGGGGAAATTTTCTTTCATTATTTGTTCAAATAAGTTCAATTTCTTGCTCTTGTTCTTCTCCTTCTGGAACCCCTATGATTCAGATGTTGGAACATTTAAAGTTGTCCCAGAGGTTCCTAAGCCTCTCTTCATTTTTTCAAATTCTTGTTTCTTCATTATGTTCCAGCTGGATGTTTATTTCTTTCTTTTGTCCCAGATTGTTGATCTGAGTTCTGGTTTCCTTCCTGTCACTGTCGGTTCCCTGAATATTTTGCTTTATTTCATTTTGGGTATCTTTCATTTGTTTTTTTTCATCTCTCAACCAAGATCAATCAGTTCTGTGAGGATTTTGATTACCAGGGCTTTAAATTCTCCATCAGATAGGTTGACTATCTCTTCATTGCTTAGCTCTCTTTCTGGAGTTTCAAACTGTTGTTTCATTTGGGACATATTTCTTTCTTGGGGCACATCTGTTGAGTTGTAAGGGGGTGGGGCCTTAGGTATTCACCAGGGTGGGCAACCCTCTTTGCTGCTTTTTGGTGCTGTCTGCGGGGTAGGGGTCAGAGAGGGAACCATGCAGCTCACCTGCTCCTCTCTAGCCCACTTTCCAATGAACTCTCATGTGAGACTGGGAGATTCTCCCACCAGGTCAACCCCCACTGTAGTCCACAGTCAGCTCTGAGTTTCAGTTTCCTGCTCAGTCAGCCCCACCCGTGCGGTCCACGACCTTGCCACAGGTCTTCTCCACCCACCTGGCTGCCTGGCTCCTTCCTACCAGTCTGGTTGAATGTGTCTTTAATTCCTTCATTGTTGGAGTTCCATGCAGTTTGATTTTCTGGCACTTCTGGTTATTTATTATTTTTAGATTGGTTGTTATCCTCCTTTTGGTTGTGAAAGGAAGCAAAGGGTTTCTACCTATGCTTTCATCTTGGCCTGAACCTCTTAACTGTTTTTCTTTTGCAGCTTTTAAGATCCTCTTTGTCTTTAACCTTTGGCATTTTAATTATGATTTGTCTTTGGGTGATTTGTCTTTGGGTGGGCCTCTTTTGGGTTCATTTTTTTGGGACTCTATATTTTCTGAATTTCTTTTTTTTTTAATTTTTTTTAATTTTTTTATTTTTAGAGAGGGAATGGAGGGAGAAAGAGAGAGAGAGAGAGAAACATCAATGTGCGGTTGCTGGGGGTCATGGCCTGCAACCCACGCTTGTAGCCTGACTGGGAATCGAACCTGAGACACTTTGGTTCGCAGTCCGCGCTCAACCCACTGAGCTACGCCAGCCAGTATTTTCTGAATTTCTATGTGTATTTCCTTCACCAAGTTAGAAAATTTTTGTCATTTTTTTTTCAAAAAGGTTCCCAATTTCTTGCTCTTTCTCATCTCCTTCCAGCACCCCCTGATGCAAATGTTGGAACACTTGAAGTTGTCCCAGAGGCTCTTTGCACTATCATTTTTTCTGTATTTCTTTTTCCTTTTGCTGTTCTTATTGATTGTTTTTTCACTTCCTTACTCATTCTTGGCTTTATCCACTCTCTTGTTGATTCTCTGTAAATTTTTCTTTGTTTCAATTAGTGTATCCTTCATTTCTTACTGGATCTTTTTTATGCTGTTGAGGTTCTCATTAAGTTTAGTGAGCATTATTATAACCAGTGTTTTTCAACTCTGCACCTGACAGATTGCTTGTCTCCATCTTGTTTACTTTTTCTGGGGTTTTGTTCTCTTCTTTCATTTTTGTCATGTTTCTTTGTTTCTTCATTTTGGCAGCCTCCCTGTGTTTGTTCCTATGTATTAGGTAGAGTAGCTATGTCTCTCAAGCTTGGTAGCATGGCCTAATGTAGTAGGGGTCCTATAGAGTCCAGTGGCATAGCCTCACCTCTCACCCAAGCTGGGTGCTCAAGGTGTTCACCCAAGCTTGGTGTCCACTGTATCACCTGTTATAGTTGAGCCTTGATTGATATTGGCATGTTCAAGGTCAGCCACCACCTGTGTTCTTTCTGGGGACACACAGCATAAAGCTACAAAGTAATCTGCAGGTGGCCAGAGTCTCAGAAATGGTGCTGCCTGCCAGCTCTGACTCTGTGGGGGGCGGGTTCAAAACAGGAACAATGGCCTCTGCCAGCACTTCTGTTTGGGAGAAAGCTACCCCCAAGCTCTTGCCCTGATGCTAAACAATTCAGTTCCTACTCATATTTCTCTGATTCCTTTTAGTCTGTTGCCTCCAGGCTGGATCTCAGAGGAAGTAAGAGGAAGTAAGTTCGAGTAAGTCTGTGCATGGGCCCTTTAAGAGGAACTGCCTGGGACTCCAGAAGTTTCTGTCTTCCACAGCTTCATTACTTGTTGGTTTTTATTTTTTTAATTTAAAAAAAATTTTAATTGTTGTTTAAGTACCGTTTTATGCCTTTTAGCCCCATCCCAGCCACCCTCTCCCTGTTGGTTTTTACAACCAGAAGTTATGAAAGCTTATCTTCCTGGCACTGGAACCTTGGGTTGAGATGTCTGATGTGGGACCCCTCATCCTGAGATACCCTCCCGATTTTTAACCACCACATGTGGGTATGGAACCAGCCCATTTCTCACCTTCGCCCCTCCTACCAGTCTCTATGTGTTTTCTTCTTTAATTCCATAGTTGTTAGGACTTCCATTCAGCTCAGTTTCTGACAGTTCTGAATGATTGCTGTCATTCAAGGAGGTGAGTTGTGTTTACCAATGCTGCCATATCAATCAGAAGTCCTTCTGTTTTTCTAGAAATTTTATTTTTAGACAGAGGGGAAGGGGGTTACACCAGCCAGAGCCAGAAGTCCTTCTATCTATTCTTGGTTTAGTCTTGATAGGTTTTGTGTTTCTGATATAAACATTGACCATTTCAGCTAGGTTACCCAATATTTTGATGTATAATTATTCATTGTCCTGTCTTATAATCCTTTATATTTCAGCAGAATTTGTAGTATGTCTCCATTTTCATGTTTGATTTTAGTCTCTCTTTTTTTTCCTTATTCCATCTAGCTAAAATTTTGTCAATTTTGTTGATCTTTTCAAAGAACTAATTTTTGGTTTCATTGATTTTCTCCATTGCTTTTCTCACCTCTATTTCATTTATCTCTGCTCTAATCTTTATCTCCTTCCTTTCTTCCTCCCTCCCTTCCTTTCTTTCTTTTCCTTTCTCTCTTTTTTTAAGATTGTATTTATTTATTTTTAGAGAGGGAAGGGAAGGAGAAAGAGAGAGAGAGAGGATCATCAATGTGCGGTTGCTGGGGGCTGTGGCCTGCAACCCAGGCATGTGCCCTGACTGGGAATCGAACCTGCGGTGCTTTGGTTCGCAGCCCACGCTCAATCCACTGAGCTACGCCAGCCAGTGCCCTTTCTCTTTTTCTTAATTAACCTTGCCAGAGGCTGTCTATTTTATCTTCAAAGAACCAACTTTTGACTTTATTAATTTTATTTTCAGTTGTTTTTATATTATTAACTTCAGTTCTTTTCTTAATTAGGTCCTTCATTCATCTATCTTTTCCTTATTTCTTCCTGATGTTTCTAGCTTACCTTGTCAATGAGGGTTCTAGCTTTATGCATAAAATATTCAATTCATAGTGTCCTGGTTTAAGGTCAGTGTCTCCTTTCCCCATGTAGTCCTTAAAACTCTAAATACTAAATCTCAGAAATCTGCAAATCCTGTGAGAGCACTAACTTACCATCTTAGTTTTCAATTCCTTCAGGTCTGCATGTTTCCCTTTCTTCTTACCTTAGCTCTGCATTTAGAAAACATTTGTTGTACATTATCTGGCATTTGCAGGTTTTGTAGTTAAAGGCTTATCTCTTCTCTCATATTGCTGGAAAATAGAGCTGTATGACTTTTATAAACAAACAAAAGTCTTTACTTAAAAAATTGGACTGTGCTCTCAAGAAAATTTTGCTGCTGATATAGATTTTTACAGAGTTGATGTAGGCTCTGAAAAGATGCTACTTGCCAAGAATCTATAATAGTTTAGTATATTTGGCATGTCAGTAGCTTTTGTCTGGTAACTCAAATACAGATGATAGACCATTGCTCCTATTTATCTTCTGAAGAGAATGAAATAAGGTTAATAATAATTGCATAGTGAATGTTTTCCAATCTAAACTTTATCTGGAGAAACTGTTTTGAAACTTTATTGAGTAGAGGGTAGGCCCAAAATTTGCTATCCTCTAAACAAAGCTACTCATTATTCCAAATAAAGGAAGTTCCTTTCAGGAACTGTAAAGGACACATGGACAAAAACCAAGGAAGAGGATGGAAACAAGGGATGGAGGTGGGTTTGGCTGAGGTTAGGAGGGAGCAGTGGGGGGAAAAGCAGACAAGTGTAATTGAACAACAATAAAATAATTTTTTTTAAAAAGGAAGTTCCCTTTAAAGTTGAAACAAAATCATTTTGGGTTAAGTGGGGACCAAGTTTCTCCTAACACAGTCTGAAGCTCAAACCATGCATTTGTGCACACCAGCTGAGGAGTATGTCACCTGTAGTTAGTAACTATTAATTGAGTTTGGAAGTAAGTCACTTATTTTTAATAAATTAGAGGTGGCTCAGGCTTTGTCTGTAGCTAGTTTGAGTGCACTCAAACATTTTAAACAAAACACATTGGTATTTAAATATTCTGCCTGGAAAATAAATTGGAAAAAACGATCAATTAAATTAACATCATGTTATGATGTTACCAGGGCTAGAGTTTGTGTACCTACTTAGGTTTCTGCTAGATTGGGACAAATGGTAGAAATGGAAAAAAAAAGAAAAGGTGGGGAGGTAGAAACTTAATTTACTTTTTTAAAAATGCTATGATTCAGGTTGAAAGAGTTAACATTTCCTCCTACCACAGAATTTTAAATAGTCTGATCAGTTTTGTAGTCTAACCTTGACTTCTTCCTCACAAGAAAGACAACCATGAGTTGTTATATTCCTGGACTTTTTTTTTTTTTTAATTTGAAGCAACCCTGATCAGGCACCTCATTCTTTGAAAATCCTGCACTTCCACCCCTTAGTCTTTCTTTGTTGTTAATTTATTAATTCTTTTTAAATTTTATTTTAATTATTGTTCAAGTACAATTTTCTATCTTTTACTCCCATCTCGACCCACCCACCCAGCCCTCCCCACCTCCCTCCCATTTCCACCCACCCCTAGTTTTTGTCCATGTGTCCTTTATACTTGTTCCTGTAAACCCTTCCCTTTTTCCCCTGAAATTCCCTCCCCTCTCCCCTCTGAACACTGTCAGCCTGTTCTCTATTTCAGTGTCTTTGATTATATTTTGCTTGTTTCTTTGTTTTGCTGATTAGGTTCCTTTTAAAGGTGAGATCATATGGTATTTGTCTTTCACCGCTTGGCTTATTTCGCTTAGCATAATGCTTTCCGGTTGCATCCATGCTGTCACAAAGGGTAGGAGCTCCTTCTTTCTTTCTGCTGCATAGAATTCCATTGTGTAAATGTGTAAATTTATTGATTCTTAATGAGAGAGAGAGAGGGAAAATACTGATTTGCTGTTCCACCCACTTATGCATTCGTTGGTAGATTCTTATATGTGTCCTGACCTAGGATTGAATCCACAATCTTGTTGTATCAGGATAACACTATAACCCAGAGGTATCCAACCTTTTTGGTGCCAGGGACTGGTTTCATGGAAAACAATTTTTCCCTTCATGGAATATAGAGGGTCAGAGTCTGGGGAGACAGGAGGTTATGTGAGCAAAGAGTAACTCAATTGCTGCTGCTCACCTCATGCTGTGCGGCCTGGTTCCTAACAGGCCAGGGACTGGTACCAGGCTGTGGCTCAGGGACTGGGTACCCTTGCTCTGACCAATTAAGCTACATAGCCAAGGCCTAGTACTTAAAAAATTTTTCTTTTCAATTACAGTTGACATTCAATATTATATTAGTTTCAGGTGTACAGCATAGTGGTTAGACATTTATATAACTTAGGAAGTGATCCCCCAGATAATTCTAGTACCCACCTGACACCATACATACTTACAGTATTATTGACTATATTCCCTATGCTGTACTTTACATTCCTGTGACTATTTTGTAACTGCCAGTTTGTACTTTATAATTCCTTCACCTTTTTGACCCACCCTACCAACCCCCTCCCTCCTGGCAACCATCAGTTTGTTGTCTGTATCTATGAGCCTGTTTCTGTTTGTTCATTTATTTTGTTTCTTAGATTCCACATATGATTGAAATCATATGGTATTTGTCTTTCTCTGATTTATTTCACTTAGCATAATACCTTCTAGGTCTACCCATGTTGTCACAAATAGTAAGATTTCATTCTTTTTATGGCTGAGTGATAGTCCATTATATATACATGCCATTTTTTTTATCCAGTCATCTATCATTGGACACTTAGGTTGCTTCCATATATTGGCTACTATAAATAATGCTGCAATGAACACAAAGGTGCATATATCTTTTTGAATTTTCCACCTCTTAGTCTTTATTGCAGAATTTTTCCTTTAGGCTTTCCTCCAGGCATGTCTAAACTTTGTACCTAGAGCAGGTTTTTATTTTTTATTATCATCATTGTTATTTTTAATCCTCCCCCAAATGTATGTTTTCACTGATTTTTTTTTATAGAGAGAGAAAGTAGAGTGGGGGAGAGAGGGAGAGAGAGACAGACAGACAGATAGACATCTATGTGAGAGAGGAACATCCATCAGTTGCCTCCCACACACACCCCAGATGGGAGGTTGAACCCAGTCTTTTGGTGTACAGGATGATGCTCCACCAACTAGCTACCTGGCCAGGGTCACATTATAGGATATTAAAAAAATTAGAGTATGTAGTTGACAAATTTACTTTTGAGTCCTAAATGTATGCACCAGAACCCTCAAACACCAGAGAAGCAGTTTCTACTAAATATTAACCTTATTAATGTTTTGAATATTTTATTTTGACTAATTATGAAAAATCTCCCTCTTCCATTTAAGTATTTTTAAACCTTTCAGAAAAAAAGTTGTCCTCAAAATAAAAAGGAGCAGTGTCTTAGCCTTGATGTTCGTAATTATTTTTTTTAATTTTAAAAGATTTTGTTCATTTATTTCTAGAGAGTGGAAAAGGGAGGGAGAGAGGGAAAGAAACATCAATGTGTGGTTGCCTATCACACGGCTCCCACAGGGGACCTGGCCCACAACCCGGCATGTGCCCCAAGTGGGAATTGAACCAGTGACCCCTTTGTTCACAGGCCCGCACTCAATCTACTGAGCTACATCAGCCATGGCTTGATGTTCATAACTCTTGAGAGAATATCTCTTGACAAGCAGAAAAAAGTTTTTAGTAAAGAACCACATATTACAAATTTATTAAAACTGGATTCATTGTTATATTTCAATAACTGTATGGGGGAAACTTTAGCATTGACATAAGGGGTGAGTCAAAAAATTGGCTCTGGTTTTAAATAAACCTTTTCTGAAGGTAAATATAGTTTTGGGGAAAATCAAAACAAAGTACACAAACTAATGTAAAATATAAAACAATTAGATTGTGGTCAGTGAACTTATACTGTTAAGCCTTTTTTAATTGAGCTATAATTGACACTTAATGTTATACTAGTTTCAAGTGTACAATGTAATGATTTGATGTTTGTATATCTGTACCTTTATTAATGTGTCCAAACTCCTGTTTAGGCCACCTGGCAAGAGGGCCACACAATGCCCTCCATGGAACCTAGGTACTTTTGCTTTTTGAGGCCCCTTTCTTTGGTAAAAAAAAAATTTAAATTATGTTTTATGATTGTGTTGGACTAAAGACTAATGCAATCAAGGCTGGATTCATTATTACATGTTCATTATTATTATTATGCTATTTTTTTCCTTCTGATTGTGAAAGAAATGAACATAAAAACAGTTTTGTGGGATTCTAAAAGTAGTATAGTAGTAGTATACTATAGTAGTAGTAGTAGTGGTGGTAGTAGTAGTAGTAGTAGTAGTATAGTATTAAAGAAATTAGTTTGGGCCACCGGCTCTGTGAGTTCTGCACATCACCTATTCATGGTTCTGCTGAAAATTGATAGGTGGTGGTGTCCTGAGAAATTGTAACCTTGCTGAGGTTTGTAAAAAGCAGATGGTCCTGACATAAGTTCCTCACATGATTCTGAAAAGTAAACAGAATTTACCCTTAATAAAAAGAAAAACAAAAATGACATAGGAAGGGAAAGTTCTGGATTGTAGGTAGAGGGACTACCACAGAGAAAGTCCTCAGGGGAAGTAAGAGGAAATAAAAATAACTACATATCTTAATGTAAGACAAGGTATATGCCCCTCAAAGAAACCCCACATTATTCCAGAGAAAACTGATTCACTTTAAACTTGAGTCCTTATAAATTTCTTGTATTATTGGGTACACCCCAAAATGCTTTAAATTGAAAACAAAGTTGATTATGACACTACAAATTGTTCATATGTACTATAAAAATGCATGTATTTTGGTATGTTGGGCATTGAAATATACAGTTCACAACTTCCCCCCTCTCTCTGTTCAGAGAAGGTCCTAATATTCTAAAAAGTTTCAGGGCATTTCAAGTGCAATAGTAGAGAGAAATTAAGGACAAAATGTCACAAGATTATCAATAGAAGTAAAAACTGGAAGATTTTGGGGAATGATATGACAAGACAAACAAAAAAAACCTGGCAGAAATAGAAAGTGGAATAAAGATAAGAACGAATATCTCTATGGAAAGAGAGAGAGAAAGCTGCTTGTCCCCATTATAGTATTAAAGAAATGTGTGTAGATGATATACAAAATGTTTTTAATTTTCTTGATCACATGAAATACATGTGTATTATAATTTAAACACCATTCTGAGACTGAAGCATATGCTCTTGGCTATTAATGCCTTATATGGGAAAATTAGGAGATACTCTAAAAATGTTTTCATTATTATCCTTCTAAAATAATTGGTAATGCAGACAAAAACTTACTGCAAAAATATTCACTGCAAAATTACATACAATTAGCTCCCACTTTTGTTGCTAGAAATATTAGCTATGGTTAAATAGCTGAATCCTTACAGCTATACAATCTGGAGCACAACAATAAAGAATGATTTAGGGGCAAAATAATTGAGTCATACACTACCCAGTTACACAAAAGTAATATCTCATGTGTCTTTATCTCTTAATTTAAAGGAAGTGAAACCTCAACAACTCAAACTGCAAGGAATGTTTCTCACCACACATCTCCTTTTAGTGTGGTCACTACAGCTGCAAGCACAGCATATTTGTCCAATGTACCTACCTCAACAGACACTAATGAAAACAAATTACAGAGTTTCTTCACAGCTTCTTCACAGAGCAACTTTACTGAGAGCAGAGAGTCCTCCCAGAAAGGAGAAACCAGCATGGTCACAGGAATGAGCACAGCAGCCCCTTCGCCCTTAACAAGTGGACACAATGCTACTTCACATGTTCCTCGGGAGACATCCTATTCTACTGAGACCACATCTTCCTCCCATTCTAGTGATAGCCCCACACATCTGAGAACTTCACAAATGACAGCCCCAACCTCAACAACACTCTACAATGTTGGAAAAACAGACCACTTGTCACTGTCTGTAACTACAACTATTACTACAGTCACCTCAGCAGTCTCAGAGACAATTGAAGGAAGTGGAAACACAACAGCATCCTCTTTCAGCACCTCCACTCACAATACACCAGCTTCTACACAGAGCCACTTCACTGAGAGCAGAGAGACCTCCCTGAAAGCAGAAACCAGCACCGTCCCAGGAGTGAGCACATCACCTGCTTCATCCTCACCAAGTGGAACCATTGTTACTTCACATATTCCTCAGGACACATCCTATTCAGCTGCCACCACCACTTCATCCAACCCTAGTGTCACCCACACATATCTGTCAACATCCCAAATGACGACAGCCCCACCTTCAACATACACTGCTCCTGGGAAAAGAGAGGATAGGTCACTGTCTGGAACTACAACTTCTACTGCAGTCACCACAGCAGTCTCAGAGACAACTGAAGGAAGTGGAAACACAACAGCATCCTCTTTCAGCACCTCCACTCACAATACACCAGCGTCTTCACAGAGCCACTTCACTGAGAGCAGAGAGACTTCCCTGAAAGCAGAAACCGGCACCGTCCCGGGAGTGAGCACATCAGCTGCTTCATCCTCACCAAGTGGAACCATTGTTGCTTCACATGTTCCTCAGGACACATCCTATTCAGCTGCCACAACCACTTCATCCAACCCTAGTGTCACCCACACATATCTGTCAACATCACAAATGACGACAGCCCCACCTTCAACATCCACTGCTCCTGGGAAAACACAGGACAGGTCACTGTCTGGAACTACAACTTCTACTGCAGTCACCACAGGAGTCTCAGAGACAACTGAAGGAAGTGGAAACACAACAGCATCCTCTTTCAGCATCTCCACTCAGAATATACCAGCTTCTTCACAGAGCCACATCACTGGGAGCAGAGAGACCTCACAGAAAGCAGAAACCGGCACCATCCCAGGAGTGAGCACATCAGCTCCTTCATCCTCACCAAGTGGAACCATTGTTACTTCACATGTTCCTCAGGACACATCCTATTCAGCTGCCACCACCACTTCATCCAACCCTAGTGTCACCCACACATATCTGTCAACATCACAAATGACGACAGCCCCATCTTCAACATCCACTGCTCCTGGGAAAACACAGGACAGGTCACTGTCTGGAACTACAACTTCTACTGCAGTCACCACAGCAGTCTCAGAGACAACTGAAGGAAGTGGAAACACAACAGCATCCTCTTTCAGCATCTCCATTCAGAATATACCAGCTTCTTCACAGAGCCACATCACTGGGAGCAGAGAGACCTCACAGAACGCAGAAACCAGCACCGTCCCAGGAGTGAGCACATCAGCTCCTTCATCCTCACCAAGTGGAACCATTGTTACTTCACATGTTCCTCAGGACACATCCTATTCAGCTGCCACCACCACTACATCCAACCCTAGTGTCACCCACACATATCTGTCAACATCACAAATGATGACAGCCCCACCTTCAACATCCACTGCTCCTGGGAAAACACAGGACAGGTCACTGTCTGGAACTACAACTTCTACTGCAGTCACCACAGCAGTCTCAGAGACAACTGAAGGAAGTGGAAACACAACAGCATCCTCTTTCAGCACCTCCACTCACAATACACCAGCGTCTTCACAGAGCCACTTCACTGAGAGCAGAGAGACCTCCCAGAAAGCAGAAACCAGCACCGTCCCAGGAGTGAGGACATCAGCTCCTTCATCCTCACCAAGTGGAACCATTGTTACTTCACATGTTCCTCAGGACACATCCTATTCAGCTGCCACCACCACTTCATCCAACCCTAGTGTCACCCACACATATCTGTCAACATCACAAATGACGACAGCCCCACCTTCAACATCCACTGCTCCTGGGAAAACACAGGACAGGTCACTGTCTGGAACTACAACTTCTACTGCAGTCACCACAGCAGTCTCAGAGACAACTGAAGGAAGTGGAAACACAACAGCATCCTCTTTCAGCACCTCTCCTCAGAATGTACCAGCTTCTTCACAGAAACACTTCACTGAGAGCAGAGAGACCTCACAGAAAGCAGAAACCGGCACCATCCCAGGAGTGAAGACATCAGCTCCTTCATCCTCACCAAGTGGAACCATTGTTACTTCACATGTTCCTCAGGACACATCCTATTCTGCTGCCACCACCACTTCATCCAACCCTAGTGTCACCCACACATATCTGTCAACATCACAAATGATGACAGCCCCACCTTCAACTTCCACTGCTCCTGGGAAAACACAGGACAGGTCACTGTCTAGCACTACAACTTCTACTGCAGTCACCACAGGAGTCTCAGAGACAACTGAAGGAAGTGGAAACACAACAGCATCCTCTTTCAGCATCTCCACTCAGAATATACCAGCTTCTTCACAGAGCCACATCACTGGGAGCAGAGAGACCTCACAGAAAGCAGAAACCGGCACCGTCCCAGGAGTGAGCACATCAGCTCCTTCATCCTCACCAAGTGGAACCATTGTTACTTCACATGTTCCTCAGGACACATCCTATTCAGCTACGACCACCACTACATCCAACCCTAGTGTCACCCACACATATCTGTCAACATCACAAATGACGACAGCCCCACCTTCAACATACACTGCTCCTGGGAAAACACAGGACAGGTCACTGTCTGGAACTACAACTTCTACTGCAGTCACCACAGCAGTCTCAGAGACAACTGAAGGAAGTGGAAACACAACAGCATCCTCTTTCAGCACCTCCACTCACAATACACCAGCGTCTTCACAGAGCCACTTCACTGAGAGCAGAGAGACCTCCCAGAAAGCAGAAACCAGCACCGTCCCAGGAGTGAGGACATCAGCTCCTTCATCTTCACCAAGTGGAACCATTGTTACTTCACATGTTCCTCAGGACACATCCTATTCAGCTGCCACAACCACTACATCCAACCCTAGTGTCACCCACACATATCTGTCAACATCACAAATGAGGACCGCCCCACCTTCAACATCCACTGCTCCTGGGAAAACACAGGACAGGTCACTGTCTGGAACTACAACTTCTACTGCAGTCACCACAGCAGTCTCAGAGACAACTGAAGGAAGTGGAAACACAACAGCATCCTCTTTCAGCACCTCTCCTCAGAATGTACCAGCTTCTTCACAGAAACACTTCACTGAGAGCAGAGAGACTTCCCTGAAAGCAGAAACTGGCACCATCCCAGGAGTGAAGACATCAGCTCCTTCATCTTCACCAAGTGGAACCATTGTTACTTCACATGTTCCTCAGGACACATCCTATTCAGCTGCCACCACCACTTCATCCAACCCTAGTGTCACCCACACATATCTGTCAACATCACAAATGACGACAGCCCCATCTTCAACATCCACTGCTCCTGGGAAAACACAGGACAGGTCACTGTCTGGAACTACAACTTCTACTGCAGTCACCACAGGAGTCTCAGAGACAACTGAGGGAAATGGAAACACAACAGCATCCTCTTTCAGCATCTCCACTCAGAATATACCAGCTTCTTCACAGAGCCACATCACTGGGAGCAGAGAGACCTCACAGAAAGCAGAAACCGGCACCGTCCCAGGAGTGAGCACATCAGCTGCTTCATCCTCACCAAGTGGAACCATTGTTACTTCACATGTTCCTCAGGACACATCCTATTCAGCTGCCACCACCACTTCATCCAACCCTAGTGTCACCCACACATATCTGTCAACATCACAAATGACGACAGCCCCACCTTCAACATCCACTGCTCCTGGGAAAACACAGGACAGGTCACTATCTGAAACTACCACTTCTACTGCAGTCACCACAGGAGTCTCAGAGAGAACTGAAGGAAGTGGAAACACAACAGCATCCTCTTTTAGCATCTCCACTCAGAATGTACCAGCTTCTTCACAGAAACACTTCACTGAGAGCAGAGAGACCACCAAGAAAGGGGAAACCAGCATGGTCACCAGACTGAGCACCACAGCCCCTTCATCCTTACCAAGTGGAAACAATATTATTTCACCTGTTCCTCAGGAGACATCCTATACAGGTGAGACCATGTCTTCCTCCCATTCTAGTGTCAGCCACACACATGTCATATGTCTGAAATCATGACAATCTCAAACTCAGCACACATCCTTTGGGAAAACAGAGGCTATGTCACTGTCTTTCACTATGACATCTAGTTCAGTCACCTTAGCAGTGTCAGAGACAACTGAAGTAGATGGAAACCCAGCAGCACCATCTTTCAGCACTTGTGCTCACGGCACAGCTACATCATTACAGAGCCCCCACTATCAGCACAATGAGACCACCAAAGAATCACAAACCAGCATCATCACAGATATCAACACCTGAGCCTCTTCTTCCTCATCTAGTGGAAACATGTTACTCAGGTGTCATTCAATTCAGATGAGACGATCACTGCATCCCATTCTCATGTCAGCCACACACCACTGACAACTTCTCTAATGGTGGGAACACCAGCCTCAGCACACACCAGTTTTGGCAAAACAGAGGACACATCACTCTCTGTAACTACAGCTTCCACTCCAGTCACCTCAGTAGTCTCAGTGAACACTGATGTAAATGAACTAGCAACAGCATCCTCTTTCAGTGCCTCTAGTCTGTACACATCAGCATCTTTTCATGACCGTCAGACTCAACATGGAGATCAACAGGGAATCTCCAACCAGTGGTATCTCAGCAGTTAGCACTCCTTTCTTTTCCACAAGTGAACACAATTACAGAAGGCATTTCTCAGGAGAGAACCACCATTGATCAAACAAGCACTTTATTTGTTTCCAGTGTCAGCATTCATCTCCGACATTATCAGATATTTGAACAGTGGCAATTTCAACTTATAGCTCTCTAAGAAACACAATGGGCACACCACTACCTGAAAGTAAAAGTATTAGTACAGTCACCTTAGCAGTATCAGTGACAACTGGACTAGAGGGACAACCCAAAACTTCTTCCTTCAGTACATTTACTCAGGACACACCCGCATCTTCTCAGAACTACCAGACTGAGGTCATGGAAACCACTGTGGAACCTGAAGTCAGTGAAATCACAGTAGTGAGCACATCAACTCCTTTCTTTTTACCAAGTGAACATACTTTCTGTCTGGGAGCATTTCTCTGGCAACCTCCTCTTCTGGTGAAACAACTCCTTTATCTTCCTTCAGTGTCAGCAATAGCTCTGTCAACATCTGAAATGTTGACAGCACCAACCTCAAAATACACCATGGTAGATAATACCAGGGAGACATCACTATCTGTATCTAGAAGTTTTCTTCCATTCACTTCTAAAGTTTCTACAACATGGGAGTCAGACGTACCATCAATACCACTCTCTATCAGTTCTTCAACTCCACACCCACCAGAACAAAGGCACAAAGACAATGGGATGGCCACATAAAAGCAGCTTATACTTTACAGATATTTCTCATGAAACATTCACTCCCAGTGAAACAACAACCCTAACTTCTTCATCCTTCATTGATAGCCATGTCACTCAATCACAAAAAGAACTATTGTCAATACCAATAGCTGCCACTATAGTGGTCACAGAAAACATATCTACTTCTACAGCTAGCACAATTTCCTGGGTTACTTCTAAAGTCTCAACAATAGGTGAATGGGGAGATCTGACTACATAACCCTACCTGAGCATATCTCTTCAGGAAACAACCACAGCACTTTCCCAAACTCACTGATCACAAGGCCCAGGGACAACTGCAGATACTCCTGTCAGAAGCACAAGCTCCAGCATGACTCAAACCACCAAAACAGTCAAATCTGCATCTTCTTCATCCATACCAAGTAGACACACATCTCAACAATATGTAACAGTAGGCCCAACAAGACTGTTAGCACCACTCTCTACCACCACCTCTCCTCAAGAATCATCAATTATTCCCCAGATAAATCACACTCAAGGCACACAGACCACACAAAAATCACAAACCACAAGTTTAGTCTCTTCCATGACAAACACAATCAAGAGAGTCAAATCTGTAACTTCTTCATTCAAACCAACTGGACATTCATTCTCAGAAAATGTTCCTCAGGATACATCCAATGCAGGTGAAGTTACAACATTCACCCCAACACCTTTCAGGGAAAGTCACACAACTCAGGTCACTACTACTACCACAGAACTGTGGGCAGCACCAACCAGCCCTGACACCACCCTGGGAACCTCAGGAGACATATCATTACCCATAACAAGCACCATTCCTCAGTCCACCTCTGTAGTGTCAACACTGACAAGACCAGGAAGACCATCAGCATTTCCTGTTACCAGCACCTCAGCTGACACATCAACCATTTTCCAGACCCACCAGTTTCAAGACATGGTGACAATTAGGGAACCGCTCACCAGCCCAATGGCCTCTTTGGTGATGGAAACCACCAGGCATAGCTACAGCTTCTTCCTCTATTGCAAGTAGCCAAACAACTTCAGGAAGTGCTTCTTCAGAAACATCCATCTCAGATAAGATCAAGAGTTTCTCTCCAACTTCCTGCAGAGAAAGCTACACAACTCAGTCTACAAATGAATTGTTGTCCACTGCAACCAGTCATTAGACTACTCCAGGAACCATGGGAATCACACCCACTATTGTCCCCAACACCATTTCAACTATCATCTCTGAGGTCTCAACAACAGGGAGACTAACAAGACAGTCAACCCTAACTTCTCCCAACACCTCTCCTCAGGGAACATCAGCTATTTCCAAGATAGCTCAGATTCAACATACAGGAACCACTGGTGGATCTGAAACTGTCAGTTCCATCCACCAGGTGACTAACACCTTCTCAACAGTCACATTTCCATTCACACCAAATGTGCACACATCTCCAAAAACTGTTATCCATACTCTGTAACCTTCAAGGACCAGCACAACAATCATCTCAAACCCAGTCAAAGGCAGTCACAGGACCCAAACAGCAATGCCAGCTTTGTCATCTGGGGCAACTGAAGGGCTAACTACAGTCAGTTCTACCACCCTGAGTGAGGCAGCCTCTTGTTCTCCTTTTACTACTTTGTCCAGAAGTGGAGAAGTTCTGACAACAACCACAAAAACATGACCACAGTGGTCATTACCACTGTGGATTCTGGCAGTAACTCCTTGACAAATACCATGCAAGTACTGAAATCCTCAGTGAGCAAGTCAAGCACACCCACCCCTGAGCATCCTGCAACTGTTCAAATGGTAGCCTCCACTACCAACTCTACAACAAGGCCAACATATATGAGTTCTACGAGTAATCACAATAGCATAGTTGGATCCACACTAACTTTTTCATTTCCATGTACAACTTACCCTTTAATCAAGGCCACCCCAATACTTCTTCAGCATCTAAGTATTCTAAGATTACATTGCCTACACTACAGCCATTAACAGGCTATGCTTTCTCTGACTCCACTTCTGGTAATGTGAGCAAAGCCCAGACCATACCGAGTTTCTATGCTTCAACCATAATTCTTTATTCTCTCAAGCAGCCCCTGGCCCTGCAGTCACCTGGAACTCCACCACCATATTCACAGATCATCCCACACTCCTGTCTGACATCAGCACTTTCTCACCATCCACAGTACACTCAAGCTCCACTGTGAAGACTGAGACATCAGGTAGGAGGGGACCCCAGTGTCTTGGCCTCTTACTCAATCTGGCCCCATTTGCTCAATCTGGCCTAGAAGAGTGCTTGAGAGAGGATGGTGAGTTAACAATACCAGGTAATTGTTAACCTGGTTAGGACTGAGGTGAGGTCCACAAGAGGATAAAGTGAATGGGGATGTGGTGGGTGACAAAGTCACATTTTCTCTGCCCCACCAGACAACTGCTTACCTTCAGGAGGTGGTTTGGGTGTGATCAGAAGACAGACAAAAGGGTTTCTAGTTGTCTCGTCCAGCTCCTTAAGTCTATGACTTTTTGACTCTGCTACTCTGTGACTGTAAGACCCAATCCAGTCTTCTCTCCCTGCATGCCAGGAGCAATCACAACCTCACTGAGGACAGACAGTGAGAAAAGCACAGCAACATCACTACCCTCAACAACTTCCCAGACCCTTATAACCTCAACTCCCAGCACATCCACAGGCACACACTCAACAGTTACCCCAGTCCCTATCAATCCTGAGAAAGGTAAGTGGTGCCATAGAGCTGGGACTTTTTGGCCCTGATATGGAGAGGATTTAGCTAGATGTGGAGCTTGTAGTTGTGGCAGATGGATTGGAGCTACTAATGAGGGCCCTTGTGGTAAGTTCTGTGGATATCTCCACTGCCCCTTTTGGGCCATGGAAAGTCAAGCTTCTCCCCATGTCCTCTTTATAGGATGATGTAATTGAATGCTCAGCCTCAGCCTGCTTGCTCATAGATTCTGCTCTTTCATGTCAGAAGGGCCTCACAGGGAACAATCAGACAGCATCAGAGTTGGGTGCTGAGGGCTGGCTTTGCACATGGCACGGCAGCAGGAGGTGAAGACAGAAAAATGATCAAGGTGCTGTCCAGGAAGAAACAGATCTGCTGCCTCAGTAGGTGCAATTACAGGAATAAGCCCAGAGTATTAAGGCACACACAGTGAAAGGCCCCTAAGGGATGTGGGAGTGGGTTCAAGGTGATGAGGAGGCTTCCTAGAAAGAATTAATAGGAGCTGGGGGAGAGGAAAGACTCCAAGCCAGCAGGAGGGCCTGGACAGCTGGAATAAAGGTATAGATATGAAAAACAGTCTCATTATAGCATGGGGAGAAGATCCCCAAAGCATGGGCACGTTGCTGGAAGTAAAGTGGAGAGTATTGAGAACTGAGGCTGTGATGTAAGGGAGTCTTGTGGATAATGGGAACTAGGGGGTACGTGGCTAGATTTGCATTTACAAATGGTGCTATGGTGGCTGGGGTGGAGTATGGATTCACAGGCTAGGAGAGCAGTGTGGAGATTGCTGTGAATTCCAAGCAACACCAGGTGAGTATGGAAAGGAGACCCATTTGAGAAATGTTTAGGACAGAGTTTCTCAAACCACCCAAGGACTTCTAGGGGATCCTAGGACAAATTCTAGGGTGTCTTCAAGTTTATCTAGAGAAATACCATCTCAGGAAATGTCTCATTCTATGAAGTGATTTTTTGAGTACTCAACTTCACTATATTGGAGGAGTTTTGTCTTTTCCCCTTTAAAACAATTATGAGTGCCATAAGAGATGCAGAATAATTTGTTGGTATTCTGATAGCAGGACTTGATTTTCTGCAAGCTGGGGAAGAATGACAATACCAGTTTAAAGGGTAAAATGAGGAGATGTGTTGAACACAAGTGGAAAAGTGGAGAGAGGACAACTTGATGGCTCCTAGTTAGGGGAACAGAAGACAGGGTAGAGGAGCAGCTGGGGAAACTCTCTGGGGATCCCTGTCAGACTGAATAAAGTGGGAGCCCATGAGGACTTTCTGTTCTTCTTTCTTCTGGCCCAGGTGTTTCCCTCTTCCCCTATGGGCCACATGTTGGAGATCAGGAGTTTGTCAGGAGGAAAGCAGACTTCACCTCGCCGCTCTTCAAGCCCCAGATTGGCTTCCCTTTCGGCTCCTCTCTCCGAGATTTCCTCTACGTGAGTCCCCGGCTGCGGCCCAAAGGGCAGGACTTGAAACCTGTGTTCCCTGGGCTCTGGTTCACTTTCCAGAGCTCCAAGATGGCCCTGTGACTGTGACCATGATCCTGATGGAAAGGAAGGATCATGGTCACAGCAACACTTGTTGGGCACCTACTGTATCTCTGCCTCTGGCTCAGTTTGCATTCAGAGTCTTTAATATCAGAGTGTCAGCCAAGGTAGGCAGGGAGTTAGGCAAGGCTCACCTAGCCACATGAGCAAAAGTGTCTTTACCACAGTAAAGAGATCCTGGGGCCCAGTAAGCTCTCTACCATTTCTGCAGGGCCCTTTTTATGAACAGAAAGCTCCATTTGGGAAACAACTGTTTAGTGCTGTTTACATGGTCTGTAATCCTATGAAAGTGATGGGGTGAGGGTTTCAGTCATTTAGCCCCATCTGATGTGGCACCAGCTTCAGGATGGGGCCGAGGGGATTTACCCGGACAAGTCTGCTCTGTGACAGGCTGGTCTATAGATGGCACTGCTGTTGAAGCCGGATGAAACCTAGCACCTTAAGAAGGACTTGAGGAGGAATGTCCTGAGGGTAAAGCGTATTTGTGTGAGAACTAGGAAAAGGGGCTCTCCCAGAAGGCAAGGAGATGGATGATGTGACCTTCCAGAGGCTGTTGACACATCTGAAGTGCTACCCAGAGAGTCCCTTGGGGGTTGTACTTCTGAGGAGCTGTTCCTAGGCTGCTCTGCCTCCCTCCCTGAATACTAACTGGAAGAACCTTTGTGCTCAGTTCACAGATAATGGTCAGATCATTTTCCCGGAATCAGAGTACCAGATTTTCGCCTACCCCATCCCTCCCCTTAGAGGTTTCACAGACAGGGACCAGCTGGCCATTGTGGCTCCATTCTGGGACGATGCTGATTTCTCCAGCCACAAGGGAACCATATTTTACCAGGTGAGCCTTTCAAAGAATGGCATTCAGGATCCCCCAGAAGCTAGCAAGGAGAGACAAAGGGCTATGTGGAAGGTGGTGCACAAGTTACTGCTGTCAGAGCCGGTACATGGGTAGGGATTGGTGCTTAAATATGAGGGTGGGGAGGAAGCAGATTAGGACTATTATACAAACTCAGGAGAAGGTCTGCAGGTGACAGGGATGGGGGTTGGCAGTCCAGGGTTTTAGTTTAGAATAAGGTTGTAGGGGTCTTACCTACCAAGCCTGAGTCAAGCAGGGCCCCTGCGTGAGCTCCTGGATCGGGTTAATGATTCCAATCGGTGGGAGCAGGTAACAAAAAGCTCCTGCAGGCAAACGTAGGCTGTGTGCCTGCCTTAGACAAAGCACTGGAGAAGGTCCAAAGATGGAGAAACACATGCCTGTCCTCAAGGAGCCTTCAGCTGGACCTGGGCAGGTTCAAATAGGCACAGGTGGTTAGCACTGTCAGAGCCAGTTTGTACTAAGAGATGAGTGAGTTCAGGTCCATAAGACTTGGGTTCCTGGGCTTTGACTCTCCACTCCACACACCCCAGGCTTCCTTGCTGCCCAATATGAATTGATCTTAAGGTCCAAGGAGCTACCTGAAAATGTAGGTCTGGAGGAGGGAAGGATGCCATATGTGGGTGGACTAAGGTGATCAGCATCACCATGTAGAAAGTGGGGGCCTTTGGGAGTGTTGAGCTGGGCCCCTCATTTCCTTGTCCTTATCTGCCTGCCTTTCCTAGGAATATGAGACTCTCTATGATGACTACAAACCACCTGTAGTCCAGCAGGTGGAATCTTGGATTAAAAAGTTTACAAACACCTGGAACTACAAAGCCAGGTGGACCCTAAAGGTCACATGGGTCAATGCCTCTGCCTATCCTGCCCAGTGGACCTATGGGGTGAGTGGACCGATGGACAGCTCCCTATAAAGCATCTGGAAGTCAGACAGGGTCCAGACCTCCAAAACCCTCTCTAACTCAAGGACAGATTGCTGATTATAGCACTCCTGCCCACCCCCACCTTGATGCTGAGCACTTACCACGCACCAGGCTGCCCCAACACTTTACTTTTATGAACTCAGCAGCCCAGATCACTGGATATTAGGAGGCTGAAATTTAGGAAATGGATTTTTTGTAAGTCAAAATGGTTAGCTATTGGCAATTTTATATGGCTCAACCTGATAATATTATCCATATTTTAGAGATGAGAAAGATGATATTTAGAGAAGTTAAGCAACTTACACAAGGTCACCCAGCTAGCAAATAACAAAGCCAGGCCCAGAACCAAGGTTTTTCTGACCTCAAATGCTGGCTCTCAACTGTAAGCCCTCCAATGGAAATGGGCACACCACATAATCCCCCTAGTCTTCCCTCTGGAGATGCACAGCTCTTACAGTCAGAAGTTCTTCCTTGTGTCTGGTCTAAAGTCACTTGTCTCTTCACTGGTTCAACAAGTTCATTGACTACCTACTTCATACAAGCATGGTGCTTGGCATTCGCCTTCAGAGAACCTTCAGAGTCTCACCTGCTGTGGTTCTCCCCACCATTCAGGTTAAGGAGACATTTGCACAATGTCCTTAAATGTCCCTGAGGAAGCCACATAAACCTCTCCCAGGTCTCTGGTGTCTTTGCTAATCTCTCAGGTTCCTGATTCTGTCTTATACAAGTTGTCTTCCAACTGATTTCTAACCCAGAGCCTTTTATGACCCCTTCATGGAAAGAAGTCACAAAGAAGGCAAATCTACCTTGTTAGGTACTTTGACACCAAAGGTGAAAGGTGTCCTACGCTCTCCCAAAGTTGTCAGCATGTTAAGCCCATGCCTTTCCTCTAGGTAGGCCAGGAAAAGGTGATGTGTGCATCGAGGCATGGGTGTGGGATGAATGATGGGACAACAGGGATGACATTCCAGCTCTCTCACAGGCACCTCCTTGTTTGTCTCCAACCTACCCCTAGACCAGCACCTACCAGGCCATCCTTTCCACAGATGGAAGCAGATCCTTCACCCTGTTTCTCTACCAAAGTGGTGGGATGCAGTGGGATGTGACCCAGCACCCAGGCAATTGGGTCCTCATGGGCTTCTCCAGGTAGGACAGGCCCCTCAGGGGCCTGACAGGGGCTGTCAGCACTAATCACATAACAGGAAATGGTGCAGAGTAGTGTTTTTGCTGCAGACACATTCCCATACCCCAGGACCAGGCTGAGTCCTCATTGCTGATGCTTCTGACTCACCCTGGTGCTACTTCCCATTAAAAGATCCTATTTCTTGCTGTTTCACATGAAAAGATCTCTATTCACTGCCATTGTCTTTCCTCTCCCAGAACCTATGCAATGTATATATTCCCAGAGCTTTGATTTCTCAGATTTCTGCTGATATTAGCTAGCATCTCTTGACTTCTCAAATATCATGACAGCAAATATTTATTGTACTAAGTACTTAATATGTATTATTTCATTTAATTATCACAACTCCATGAAAGATATACTATTTATTACCCATTCTACAGGAAAGGAAACTGAGGTACAAATACATTAGCAATTGCCCAAAGTTACAGAGCTGGGAAGTGACAAAGCAGGAATTTGAACTCAACATGAGGCTGAAATCTGCCTTCCTAGTTTCTGGTGCCTCTGGTGGAGAATTAACTCCTCCCCCAGGGCCATCAATAGCTTGTGTAGGGGCACTGGGAAAGATGTAGAGCAGAGGGAGAGAGCTGTAGAGGAGGACACATGTTCCTGTGTGTGAAGGCAACTTGGTCTCTGACACAACAGTTCTTAACCATGGTATTTCCTGGTGCTGGTGTGTGTAATCATTTGTGAACATCCCATGTAATTTGTTACTGGTAATTGCTGCAAATTATTTTCTCTTAGAGGGTGTTCAGGACTGCCCCTATAATTGTATAGCTTTTACTTGGTTTTTAATGTTTGTGAAGGAGAAAGGAGTGGAATTATCCAACTACCCAGGAATTTCACACCATTCTGAGTGTGCCTGACCCCTTGCCCAAGGTGTCACGCCTGTGTGAGTCACCCATCTGTGTCAGAGAAGAGTAAAAGATCAGGAGTCACTGCTCTGAGACATGCACCTAGAGTGAGGCTGCAGGCTCCATGTGGGATTTTCTCTTTCCTGGAGCAGAGAGATTTGAACCCCTCCCCTGGGGGGCTGTGCACCTATTGCATCAGGTCCTCAGTTCTGAGGGATTTACAAATGTTACATTTTATCTTTGCAGTACTGTGAGGTAGATGCTACTGTAATCTCTTTTACACAGATGTAAAAACTAAGAATCAAAGAGGTTAAGTAACTTGCCCACGGTTACCAAGCTACTAAGGGCTGGAATCAAGAATTGAACTCATGACTGCCTAACTTCAGAGACTGGCTCTTAACCTAACCATCCCAACATACTGTCCCCACCAATCCCTAGTTGAAGGGAAACAAACCTGAAGGAGGCCTGAACTCTGCTGTTTTCACACCCCTGCCTCATGATCAGTTTCCGGCCTGTTATCGATCAGATGTGAAATGGATTAGTCTCCCCACCCACCTCCACCCCTTTCCTGCTTGGTGGGAATCAGAGATTCTGGCTGGCTGACTGACCAACTCATTGAATAGCCGCCTGACCAGCCAATAACTGATGACTAGTTGGACTGAGTGAATGAGTGACTGGCTGACTGGCTGAATGGCTGAATGAATAACTTGACAACTGTGTGTGACAGAGGCCTACAATTCTTTCTTTTGTTTGCAGTGGAGATGGGTATTATAAAAACAGCCCACTGACATTCCAGCCAGCATGGGAGAAGTATCGTCCAGACCAATTCTTGAATTCCAACTCAGGTAAAAAGTGCCACTTAATCACACTTGAGCTGGGCTTAAATCCTCTTCTGTCCTCCGCTTTGTGGGCCATAACAGTCCTAGAGGGGCAGCTCCCTCGCATGTCCACCATTCTACAGGGTGTCCCCAGCATAAACCGACCTCCCACAGATGTAATAAGCCCTTGGCACTGCCCAGGGAGCAGCTGGTAGCTTGGCTGGGACTTTGTCTGCTTCCTGGGATGAGCCAAACCCAGGAGGTCTCTCAGTGGGGGTCCAGATTCTGGAAGTGAGAATGGGGGTATGGCAGGGTATAGGAATGTGAATGAGTAGTTGGAACAATACTCCAAGTGTCCTGTCCCAGAAATGGGATGTGAATCTGGATGAGATCCCTTAAGGGAATGTACAAAGAGAGAGGACTGACATTCATGTAGTCATTATTTTAATTGAGCACCTGCTATGTGTGGGACACTGTGCGAGAACCAGGAATATGAAACAAAAGGGAAAAGACTGACTATTTTTGTTTTCAAAGAACTCCCTTTCTGGTAAGAAGGCTAGTACTTCAGTGTCAGGAAGAAGCCCATGGGGCCTCCCCCATGACTCAGTGTAGTGTCTGGGGCCCTGAAGGGAAAGGAAGTATCATTTACAAAATGAGAAAGAACAAAGAACATTTTAGCATTATAAATCAGCTTGTAAATTGTGAAGCATAAATCCCGCTCTATTTGTTCTGTGGCAAGAAATTTTGGTAAATAGAAGCTAAGTCAAAGCACAGGTGCCATCTTGTGGAGAGTGCTGTCCAGTCGAATTAGGGCCCTTCTATCAAGATGCATCAACTTGTGGCCTAAGGGGTGCACTACAATAGAGAGACACTGTATGCGCGTTTGTGTGTGTGTGTGTGTGTGTGTGTGTGTGTGTGTTTTGGGGAGAGTATCTGATGTTTTCCCCGATACCAGGTTGCTATAGAGAAGATACATGAACAGATAATCATAAACAATGATTATTCTTTTCAGAGCCTTAACAACTTGTAATTATCTTGACAGTTACTTCTTTTGTGTGAGAACAGGGTAAAGATCTAATGTCCTGTCATATCTTATTGGAGTCTGGAGGCCCACTTCTCACTCATGGCAGCTGGGGTGGGCAGTATGTAATTTACAGTTAATTGAAGGTCTGTTTCAGTTCAAACTCCCCCTCAGGGTTTCTTCTCCCACTTACTTCCCCCTTCCAAGGATAGTATCTGGGTACAAAGGATGCTTCCTCAGCCTTGTGGTGTTGGAGCAAGTCCCAGTGTCACATGCCAGCTTCTCTGTGGCTCCCCAGCTGGCCTCTGAGCATCGGCCTCTTCCCTGGCTGCTTTGGCCACTGACATGTCTGGGCTGGCGGAACCAGGGGTCAAGGGTGAAAGCTAAGTGTCTGAGCAGGTGGCTAGTGGCTGGTGGCATCATTTGCTGACATATAGGATGCATGTGGAGGAACTGGTTTTGGGGGCCATTGGAAGGTGCTGGAGCTTACAGTGACAGACAAAAGAGTAGAGGATGGGATGAACTGAATGTCCGCACCAGGGTTTGGCTTTGAGTTGGGTACATGTGAGCCCTCCTTGCCCAGTCCTTGTCTCTGGGTTTTGCCCAAAGATCCAAGCTTTGAGGGCTTTTGGAGGTCACATCAAATGGAGTCTTTGGGGAGGAACTGCTGCCAATCTGAATTGGGTCCCCTCCTCGGAAGAGCTATCCAGAGGGGAAAAGTGGCACACAGGGCACATTTCTGAGTTTTGGTTTTCCCTAAAGCTAAAGTGGAACCTGTGGGCCAAAGCCCTGGGATAACCCCTTCTTCCTTTGTTCCTCAGGCCCCAAGGGGCTACAGGTCTATAATCTACACAGTAGAGAAAGACCCAACTACCGTCTCAGGTGCCTGCAGCGGTTGAAGAGACAGCCTCAGTTGCCCAGCTTGGACTGGGACCACATCTCCTGCCCTTGCTCTTGGCAGCAGGGACTATGGGACTTACGGTTCCAGCCCATCCACATAGGTAACACCTCCTTCCAGTTTCTTGGAGCATCTCCATTGTCTCCCACAAGCCTGCCCATCATCCCTCTGGTCACACCTAACCTGTCCCTCCCCAGAAACACACCCCCACCCAGGCCTGGCATCCTGGGCCTGAGTATGTCTGGACTTGTTGCAGGTTGGTGGGGCCTCAGCAGCAGGCAGCTGTGCAGCTTCTCCTCCTGGCGTGGGGGCGTGTGTTGCAGCTACGGGCCATGGGGAGAGCTTCTCCAAGGCTGGAGAGTGCAGAGTCTTTGGCAGCTTGGTATGTGTGTCCACAGAGATCTGAGCCCTTCCTTTGGAGCTCTCTGCTCTTCTCTGTCAGAGACCAGCCCTGGGATTCACACTAAGCAATGGGACCCACAGAATGATGCCTTTTGTCCCCATTCCCTCCCAGTTCCTTCCCCTCACTGGCTGTCAATTTCCTGATCTTGTAACCTTAGGCAGCTCCCAACATCCCTTCCAGCTGACATCTTAGGGGTTTATGATTGACTTCTTGCCCCATCTCCATTTGACTCCATAGCCCCAGCTCAGAGTGGAGGCATCTTTCTAGGGAAGGAGAGGGGTCTAGTTTGACCCTGTTCCTCTGGACCCATATTAGCAGGCTGTCCAGGGGAAGACACGGAATTAGCTCCCTCAGAGACTGACTCTTCAAAGGAGCTAGAGGGCACAGGTGTGGTGGGGCAGGTAATAGGTGTCCTCCCCCTGCTCCGTGTAATTGAAGCAGCCTCCACAGTCCCAGACCATCAGCCATGCCCTCCCACCCCAGCACTTTGAACTCAGCACCCCACCCTTCAAGAAAGAAAGATCCTTATCTCCGACCCTGCCCTGGCCCACCTGGGGGCTTGGTTGCAACACGCCTACAAGGGAAACAGTCGCTGGTCAATAGCCTAAGGTCACTGAGCAGGGTGGGATCTGTACAGAGGTATTCCTGATTCCCAAAGCATCCCCTTGCCACACATCTCATCTTGCCCCATGAACCTTCCATCTGGGTTCTGCCAGTCCTCCATGTCCCATCCCACCCCCACCCGCCCCACCCCACACTTCTCAACACGCTGCTCTCCTCCACAGAGCAAGAACTAGAGCTGCAGGACTGCTGCTGCCGCAAGACTGACCATTCCTCCTTCTGCGTCCTGTACCACCAAAGGCAGCCCCGCATCAGCTGTGCTTGGTACCAGCCCCCAAGGCCCGGTGAGGCTGCTGGGGCCTGCCCTGGAGCCGATGTCTGGGGAAGGGTAGCTTCCTGGGGCCTGGACCAGGGCAGAACTAGATTCCTGGGTCAGGGCTGTGACCACAAGGGAAGGTGGAGATGGTTCTGGCATTTGGTGGATGGCAAACAGAGGGATTTTGTACATGGTATTGGGGCAGGGGTGGGAACGGGGGGTGGGAGTTAATGAGTAGACATAGGTAGGGTGGGGGCACAAAAATGCAAGAGGGCTTCCAGGGAGGATTCTATAAGCCACACTGAACAGCTCCCCAGGCTTCAGTCTACCTGAGCACGTGCCCTGCCTGGGGGCAGTGGGGAAGCTCAGACCTTTCCCTTGTCTGACATGCCAATGTGGTATCTATCTCCTTTTCCAGCCTGGATGTTTGGGGACCCCCACATCACCACCTTGGATGGTGCCAATTATACCTTCAACGGGCTGGGGGACTTTCTGCTAGTCCGAGCCAGGGACGGAAACTCCTCCTTCCTGCTTCAGGGCCGCACTGCCCAGACCGGCTCAGCCCGGGCTACCAACTTCATTGCCTTTGCTGCTCAATACAATACCAGCAGCCTGGCTCCCATCACGGTGAGTGAGGCAGAGGGTGTTAGACACACATCCCTGCCCCCGCCCAGCACCCCCTAGAGAGCCCTCAAGCACCTCCAGCTGGAAATCAAGGCCCAGGAGGAGAAAGAGAAGGAAGAAGGAGGGAAGGGGGCAGGAAGTAGGGAGGATGCCTCCTGCCAGTGTATAGTTTGAGAGTCAACCCCGGAGACACAGGATTAGGGTCCGGACTGCACCAAATATTTGATTAAAGAGATAATTTAACTCCAAGTGCCTTAGTTTTCTTATAGAAATATAGGGATAATAATGTTACCTACCCCACAGGGCTGTTGTGAGATTTTAATGAGATGATCTAAGAAATGTGCCTAGCTCAGAGCCTGGCCCATGCTAAGTACTCCATAGACATTAGGTAGAAAATCTCATCGTCACACTCTTTATCACCTTCATCTTTGTCCAGGGCTCAGGTTCTAAGCTCTTTGCAGCCTCCTTTCTCAGCCTCTGGGACCACCTGTAGGTCAAGCTTAGTCCTCCTCCAATTTCCTTCCAGATTCAGTGGCTTCTTGAGCCCAATGACAGAGTCCACGTGTGGCTCAATAATCAGGCTGTGACCTTTGAAGATGGCGAAGGTAGGCTGGGGACAGCCGTGAGGGTTCAGAGCGTGCTCCACGCCTGGAAGCAGAGTTATGGGGTGTGGAGGCAGCAGCACTGGGGCAGAGGAGGGTAGTGGCCTCCCCGTGCTTGAGCAGCTTCTTCACCCGGCAGCTGGGCATTAAACGTTCGGAAGAGGTCACTTCTCTCCTTCCAGTGCTGTGACAGCTTCGATGCGGGAGCCCCTGTCTTTGGGCCCAGGTAGAATTGGTGGTGCAACCCTGAGGGGTATTCTGTATGTTTGGTTTGGGGTCCCTGCAGAAAACACCTGCAGGATATCCCAGAGCTGCTTCCAGTCTCCTCTCTGAGCCTTCATTACTGTCAAGTCTTGGGCCTGCAGGGACCCGATGCTGGTTTCTTCCTCATCTGTCTCCCAACATTCCAGACCAGGAAATCTTCAATACCACTGGAGTTGTAATGAACCGCAATGGCTCCCTGGTGTCAGCCAGCTTAGATGGGACAGTGATCGTCTCAGTGATTGCTCTCTCCAACATCCTTCATGCCTCCTGCAGCCTCCCAGAAGAGTACCGAAACCATACAGAGGGCCTCCTGGGTAAGAAGCAGGCAGGGCCCTGCCTCTGAGGCAGCAGCCACAACAGGAGCTCAGACCCCCAGGCCCCAGGCAGGCCCTCCTCCCACTGGCTGTGGGCATCCCAGGCGGTTTCCTTTTCTCAGCCTCCTTGGAACAGAGTCCTGTGGGCACAGAATGGTAGGCAAGGACTGGGACCTCCTCAGCTACCTTTAAGGCCCACTTCCTGTCCTCCCAAAGCCCCACTTGGGGGACAGCTGAGGAAACATCCAGGAAGGGCTCTGAGGAGGGTGGGGCCAGCAGCCACCCTTCTTCTCACTGCCCCTCACACCCTCCCACCCCTCCCTCCATCGCCTCTATTCCCTTCCTCCTTCTCTCCTCCTCCCTCCCTGAAGCAGAGGAGTCGGTGCTGAGGTTATGGTGTATCCTCTACCCTCCTCCTGGAGGACTGAACTAAGAACAGATACAACAGAAAGAGGGTTCCTGGGCCCCCTGCTCCTCCTCACATCTTGAGTGTGACATGCAGGATGCTCCCAGGGAATGGGAAGAACCACAGTCCCAGAGGAGCTGACCTCCTACTCTGTCCCACAGGGGTGTGGAATGACTCTCCAGGTGATGACTTCAAGATGCCCAATGGCACTGTTATTCCCCAAGGGAGCACTGAAGAGGAACTTTTTCACTATGGAATGACCTGTGAGTCTGGACTTCACAGTGCTGGGGTATATGGGACAAGGCCAGGTTGTCTCCCTCGGGCCTGTGGGAACCAAACCTTTGTCTTTCATGAGGGAGGGGTGGAAAAGTGAGGAGGAGACACTGAGGTTTCTGGTACCACCCCAGATTTGTCCCCCCCCATTCCCTCCCACACGTGTTTCTCTACCTGAAAGAGAGGATGAGGGAAGTGGGTGGTCCTCAGTCTCTAGAGCAGGGATTTCCAGACTCAGAAGTCACAAGCCAACCTGTCTTTCCATGCCCTTCTCCCCGACCCCAAGCCATATAAAGTGAGGGTAAGAGGACACTGCAAAAGTGTAGCTGGAGTCCCACCTCTGGCACCACCATCATCGAATCTCATGTGTTATAGGGGAAATCAATGGAACAAGCCTCCTTGGCAAGAGGGACAACCACCTGCCTTCCAACTTCACCCCGGTCTTCTTTGACGATCTGTTGCAAAACGGCTCCTTGACCTCCGGGTGTAATGGAGACAAACAATGTATCCATGACACCCTGGCCACAGGAAACACAGAGACTGGACTGCATACTGAAATGCTCTTGAGAAGATACCAGGAGATGAACAACACCCTCAGTAAGTGGCCTGAGGCCCAGGGAAGTATTTTCAGAGTTAGGGGACAGATGAGGAGCCCTAAGCTACAAATTTTTTAATTTACAATAATTTTTGAAAAGTATATTTAATTGATTATGCTATTACAGTTGTCCCATTTCCCCCTTTTATTTCGCTCTACCCTACACCCCCCCTGCACCAGCATTCCCCCACCTTATACCACATTCACAGCTCATACATATAAGTTCTTTGGCTTCTCCATTTCCTATACTATTCATATCCTCCCCCTGTCTACTTTGTACCTACCATTTATGCTTCTTATTTCCTGTATCTTTCCCCCCATTCTCCTCCCTCCTCCTCCCCACTGACAACCCTTCACGTGATCTCCATTTCTGTGATTCTGTTTATTCTAGTTGTTTGCTTTGCTTGTTTTTGTTTTTATTTAGGTTCAGTTGTTGATAGTTGTGAGTCTGTTGTCATTTTACTATTCATAGTTTTTATTTTCTTTTTCTTAAGTCCCTTTAACATTTCATACAATGAGGGCTTGGTGACCATGAACTCCTTTAACTTGACCTTTTCTGGGAAGCACTTTATCTGCCCTTCCATTTTAAATGATAGCTTTGCTGGATACAGTAATCTTGAATGTAGGTCCTTGTCTTTCATGACTTTGAATACTTCTTTCCAGCCCCTTCTTGCCTGAAAGGTTTCCTTTGAGAAATCACCTGATAGTCTTCTGGGAACTCCTTTGTAGGTGACTCTTTCCTTTCCTCTTGCTGCATTTAAGATTCTCTCCTTATCTTTAATCTTGGGGTAATGTAATTATGATATGCCTTGGTGTATGCTTCCTTGGGTCCAACTTCTTTGGGACTCTCTGAGCTTCCTGGACTTCCTGGAAGTCTATTTCCTTTGCCAGATTGGAGAAGTTCTCCTCCATTTCTTGCTCTTCCTCTTCTGCTTCTGGCACACCTATGATTCAGATGTTGAAATGTAAAGTTGTCCCAGAGGTTCCTAGGCTTCTCCTCATTTTTTTGAATTCTTGTTTCTTCATTCTGTTCTAGTTGAATGTTTATTTCTTCCTTCTGCTTCAAATTGTTGATTTGAGTCCCAGTTCCCTTCCTTTCACTGTTAATTCCCTGTATATTTTTCTTCATTTCACTTTGCATAGCCTTCACTTTTTCCTCTATTTTGCAACCATACTCAACAATCTGTGAGCATCCTGATTACCAGTGTTTTGAACTCTGGTTTGGCTATCTCTTCATCACTTAGTTGTTTTTGTGGAGTTTTGATCTGTTCTTTCATTTGGGCCATGTTTCTTTGTCTCAGTGTACCTGTTATGTTGTAAGGGGCAGAACCTTAGGTATTCACCAGCATCGGGCAACCCACTTCACTGTGTTATGATGCTGTATGTGGGGGAGGGGCCAAGAGGGAACAATGCCACTTGCTGGGCTCTTAGATGGCTTTCAGTACTTCCTTTGCTACCCCCAAACCAATTGGGCCTTCCTGGTGCTGATTCCTGGATGGGTGATTTTGTGTATGTTCTAAGACCCCCTGGGTCACTCCAATGAACTTTCTTGCGAGACTGGGAGTTTGTCCCACTGCTGCAATCCCCACAGATTTTTACAGCCAGAGGTTTTGAGGCTTTCTTTTCCTGCATTGGAACCCTGGGTTGTGAGGTCTGTCTCACTCCCCAGTTGTTCCTCCTGGGTTATCCAATGCAAATGTGGGACTGCCAGTCTGCCAGCCTCCACTTAACCTTCCCAGTTCTCCAGCTGCCACTTTGTGTCATGTCCTCTCTGCCCTGGCTGCCCATCTCTGCCACTCCTACCAGTCTGGATGAATGTTCCTTCTTTAATTCCTTGGTTGTCAGACTTCCATACAGTTCGATTTTCTGGCAGTTCTGGTTGTTTTTTGTTTTCGAATTTGTTGTTGTCCTTCTTTTGGTTGTACAAGGCAGCAAAGTGTATCTACCATCTTGGCTGGTAGATTTTTTTCTTTTGACTTATGTTATTCATCTGCTCAAACCCTCCCATGACTCCCCATCTCACTCTGTCCTTATAATTCCCTTCAAAGCCTTATCCAATTTGCATCTGGAAATCTTCTCCTAGTACTCCCACCTCACTCCCTTTGCTCCAGCCCCATTGGTTTCTTTGTGTTCTCCAAACACACCAAGCTAACTCTCAACTCCAAGACTCCACATATGCTGTTCTCTTTGCCTGAAATGCCCTTCCCCCAGGCAGCCACATGCTAGCCCTTCACCTCTTTGAGTCTATATTTAAATGTCACCTTTTTTGGCTAGCCTGTCTAAAATTTCACATTCATCACACTTCCTAGTTCCTTTCCTTGTTTTAATTTTTCCTTAGCATGTATAATTATCAAGCATATTTTCTAATTTTCATAGGTATCTTTTTTATTAGTTGTTCATTGCTGTGACTTCACTAATGAGAACAGTGCCAGCCATATTGTAGGTGCTCAATAAATACTTGTTAAGTGACCGACTGACTTAATGAACAAAAAATGAAATGGAAATAGCAGCGCTCCAAAAACAGACACCATTGAGAAGGTTTAACTTCCCATTTCCTGACAAATGCAATGCCCATTGAGATATTACCCTCACAGTTTTCAGCCCTCTTCCAAAGGTAAAAGTCTGTGATGGTCTGAACAATCCTCTTTTTGGATTCAGTTCATACCAAGCCCAGCATAGTGTTCTGATCTGGAAAGAACTTGAAATGAATCTTGTTTGAGGAGAAGATAAAGGGAAAATAAAGACTTGGCCATGAGGGCAATATGACCCTAACCTGCTCTACATAGGCCTGAGAGCAGATACACAGAATAATTCCTGTTTCTGCAGGTGAGTCACAGTCTTGTGAAAGCTGCACACAGGTGAGAAGTCTAGAGAAAGAGGAAGGAGGCCTCCAAGGCTAAAGAGTATCCTGCCTCAGGCACCAAGCCCCCTCTTTGTGTTCCAGATCAGTACCCGCCCTCTATAGATGGTTCCCAAGAGTTGAGAGCCCACGTGGGGAGCACCGAGTGGATTCACTACAAAAGCAAGTCTAAGGACGTCACATTCACTCTCAGAAACAACAACACTGATGACTTCAAGCTTTTTGGTAAGGATGCTTGACTGGGGCCATAAGAGATGAGTCAGAGTCAAACTTTGGATAATTTTGCATTATTATACCCTGCACAACTTCATGTCAGCTTTCCATTCAAATATCTGGGATCAGCATTTCTTAGGAATGACTCCTATAATTTAAATAGGAGTCATTACCCACCCCCCTGGTGATGGCCAGCTAGCTAGACTGATGCTGGGCATGTACAACTGACTCAAAGATCATTTCATCTCAGTCTAAAAATATGCAATCACCTTTATTCACCTCTTTGTGTAATCACCAGATTATTAGAATAGAGTATAACAACTAACAAATACTAATTTAAGACATTTTCATATCTACCTTTTAAAAGGATATAATGTGGAAGACTTATAGAAATACAAATACCATCAGTTGGACCATTTGTCACTACTTTGATGTTTGTCAACCATGTCTACCTAACTTTGTCTCTCTGTCTGCTTTTCTGTGCTAGGACAAAGCACAGCTTCATCTCCCTTTCTCAGCAATGGTGCGGAGATCCCCATGCCGGCAGCTTGCCTTCTGCTGCCAGCACTAATTACACTGGTGACCATTCTTTACTAAACCAAAGCCCTTAGTTATCTTATTCTGAGCACCTCTCTGCCTCATTTTCTTTCTCTGGGCATAAGAAGAAACTGTTTTGTCTGTACCCTTTTACTCCATGTGGCATCCTCCCAGGGGCTAGACAATAGCATCAGGAGATTTTCTCCTCCACTGGATTCTTCTCCTAGAGAGCGATGGCCTGGAAGTTATTCTTGTCTTTTCCTACTATCAGCTCCTCTTAACTTGCTGTTTTAAGAAGACTTTCCTATTTTCTTGAAAAATATAAGGTAGGTTTGATCAGAAGAGTCCTTATTGATATGTAGCAGTGTTTTTACTGCAGTCTGGTGTCTGAAGGGGTGGCTAGTCAAAGGCCCAGGAAGTGAGAGAAATGGGCGGGACAGCAGGTCAAGGGACGGAGCTGCTGTAAAGGAGAAGCCAGTTTGGCCTGCAGTGTAGCCTGGGGATGTGTCAGGAGGATCCTGACCTTCCTCCTACATCCCCCCTTGCCCTGGATGTCCCATCCTGTGCAGGCTCAGGCAGGTTGCCCTTTGGGAGTTTCTTCAAGAAGCAACAGCTTTCTCTTTTACAGAGTTTCACCCTACTATCAGTTAGTTGGTCTAGTGTTACCTCCATCTTGGAGCATGTCCAGGATCACCCCAAGAAATCAGCCTTGCTCAAGGAAACTCCTGATGAGGTCTGAGAGGTGGCCTGAGAGAGGTGGCAGAAATCTAGCATCAGCTCTCAGGGTGTTAGAAGCCAAGGTGGGTCAGATGGCAGAGAAGAGGCTTCTTCTTCTCTCAACAATCTCATCTTCCCGGGGGCAGAGAATGGAACATTGCTGTGGACACCAAGCTTGCTGAAACCATTCACTCTGGAGATTCTAGCAAGAAGTGCCAGGGACAACTTATCATCTGTACTCCAGCCAAAGACTGTGGTCTGTGCTTGTAAGGAAAAGAAACAGTGCTTATACAACCAGACCAGATGGGTGGGCAATTCCTCCCTGGAGGTGAGTGCTGGGAGGAGGGTGGGAAGGAGGTTTTCCTTTTGAGGGGAAAAGAGGTGGGCATTGAAGGGATGTCATCAGTCCCTCTGTGGTATGTCTGTGTTGGGAGGTGGGTGGAGCTGTGGTAGGTGAGTAGAATAGATACCAATCTCAGGCCACAAGCTTCTTTGTGTGAGAAATAGAACTCTCTTTACTGCTTATAGCTCAGCTGAATTTCTGTCTCCCAGCTCCCATTCTGCCAGGCTGGCAGGAAACTTCCACTTCAGGAATTCTTAGTGGTCCCCAGCTCTATGTTTCTGGAACAAGGACTGAGGAGTGGGGTAGGAAAGTGTGACCCGTGGGCATGAGTCTACACTGATCACAAACTCCATACCCACTCCTCTTCAGACCCAGGCCAGTGCTCTGCAGTTCTGTGCCTTGCTCAGACACGGAAAATCTTTATAAGGTGGCTTCATGTCCCAAAAAGCCATTTTTCTCTGGGGTCTCATCATCATGGTGCTGAGAAGAGAGGTGGGGGGAACCCAGGGGCTGGAAAATTGAAAAAAACATACAAAGTGGGGAAAAAGAGATTGAAGTCAATATATTATTCTAGATATCCCCAAATCTCCAGTTGTGGAAAGGGAAAGTGTTGGAGAGTTGCTTTTCAGGGAGATTTCCAGAGTCATTGAAGTAGAGGGGTCAGAAAGGAGAGACCAGGGAGCTTGAGGAGGTTTCCAGAACCGTACCTTCCCTGTGCCATTGTTCTGGTTACATGTGTTCTGGTTGTGCTGAGCAGTGAGGCTCTGTCTTCCTGGTTTGGGAGTCAACAAGGGAAGAATGAGCAGGTAACTACATCTTACAGGGGATCCAGTTTTCAAGGGATAGTAGAATATTTATTTAGGTATTTAGCCCCCATCTTACTCTAGAAAGGATTTCAGACAAGGAGACATGATATGAGAGGGAAGAGGCTGAGGACCTGGGGTAAAAGGCCTTGGGGGAAAGAACGGCCCAGGGAGGAGAGTGGGCTAGAGGACAGTGTGCCCTTGGGCAGGGGAATGCCAGCCCAAGGTCAAGAAGGTGCTCAGTAGACACTGGCAGAATAAGACAAGCACTTGGGATCCATGGGTTCTCAGACAGGAGGAGTCAGTACTTAAATGCCCTTAATGGTTCAGCCTCCTGGCTACCCAGTGATCAGCAACCCATTTCAGGTGGCCGGTTGCAAGTGTGACAACAACAATTTTGGTCACTACTGTGAACGCTCCAAGGACCTCTGTGATGAGCAGTGCTTCCCGAATGTTAAGTGCATCCCTGGGCAGGGCTGCGAGGCTTGTCCTTCAAACCTAACTGGGGATGGACGTCACTGTGCACGTAAGCTGGGAACAGGGCCCTGGCAGAGAAAGGTTCTGGGGGGAGGTGACAGCTGAAGGGTCTAGGACAGCCAGGAGCAAACCATTTCTCTCCCTTTTCTAGCAAGTATTTAGAATGATCAACATAGACAGGTGTGGTAAGGAGGTAAGGTAGGCATGCTGGGGTGTGAGGCTGAAGGAGAAGAGATTGGGAGAGGCAGGGCAGAGCAGCCCTGAGACATTGATGGGGACAACCTAGGGCAAAAGATTGAAGGTGGCCTAGAGAGGAGAGGAGACTTCTAGCAGAGGCAAGGTACAAGAGGCAAGCTGGGCCCTCAGATTCCTTGGGGTCTTCTGAGTTGCAAGACCAGGAGTCTCTGTACCTTCCCTCCTACCCCCCACAAGTTAGGACACTTGGAGGGATTGTCATAGGCATCTGACAGAAGGGGTGCCTCATTTTTCCTTTGAGTTCTCCTCCAACCGTCTGTTCCTTGATCTCTGAGCCATTGGAATCATGATGAGGGCAATCACAGGAAGGCCTCCACTGAACCCAAGTGAAATCTGAGCACTGGCCAGAGTGGGTAGAACCACAGCCTTATAAAGGCAGAAAAGGAGACAGAAGTGGGGAAAGCCTTCTGAGTCCTTTCCTGATTTACAGAGTCTGATAAACAACCCTCTTCCCTCGGCAGAAGTTGGGAGATACCTGCCTAGTAAAGGAATAGGGGTTTCCAGTATAGAAGTTTTCAGTATAGAACTTGGAAAAGGGAGAAGGATAGTTAGGGGTTCAGAGTGGCCCACAAGCAGAATGTAGATTGTGTAGGCTTTGGGGGGAAGGAAACCAAGCCTTCTCTGGGAGCAGGTTTCCATGGTCAGTGATGGGCAGCAGAGAGGGGGGCTCCCCACTGCTGTCCAGCATGTTGTTGCTGATCTCTGCTCTCTGCGTAGCTCCGCAATACTATGAACTCTGTCAGAATACGTCCTGCCCTGTGAATTACTGCTACAACCAAGGCCACTGCTACATCTCCCAGACTCTGGGCTGCCAGGCCACCTGCACCTGCCCCCCAGCCTTTACAGATGCCCGCTGCTTCCTGGCTGGGAACAATTTCACTCCAACCCTCAAGTCAGGTATCACCAGATGCCTCCACCATCCTTGCCGCCACTCTTGGGGCTACTCTTGGGGGCCAGGGAAGAGTTCCTCAAACTCACAGGAGAGAACTCCAAGTTTTATTTGGGTGATGGTATGTTGTGTGGGCCATGGGAGCGGGTGGAGGGAGCTGTCCCAGCATGAACTACAGGCCTGAGTGATCTTATGAGAAAAGACTTTTTTCTTATGATAAAAAGACATATGGCTCAGTGAGAAGAGAGTCAGGGAAGCCCTGATCATAGTCCAGTGAGCTCTCAGGTGCAGATCAGCAGACTCAGCCACTTCTGATTCCTCTCGTGACCTATCAGACCTATTACTGTAGAATAGGACTGTCTCCCTGGTCTGGCCCAACGGTCTTTTTGGTAAGCCTGGGTAAACCCATGAGGTGATCATGAATCTGTTTCTCTCATCTCCAGAGCTTCCATTAAGAACCATCCAGATCTTTCTCAGTGAAGAAGAAAATGCCTCTGCAGAAGAGGTCAACACCTCGGTCAGTACCGCAGATGGCTCTGAGTGGGAAGGAGGAACCTGCTGCCCAGCAGGTTCTGGGCATGGTCTTAGCTATCACTTGTGCATTCTGTGGTTTTATCATCCACCTAGATTCAACTACCAGGGGAGATGGGACCTCCTGCCTCAGGAAAGGCCAGGGTGAGGAAGGCAGGAAGTCTCAGGACAGAGACCTCTGAGGGGGCTGGAATGGCTAACTTGAGATGAGCAGAATCTAGGGTAGCCGAGTCACCCCAGCCTCTCTGTCTGAGAGTCCCTTGAGAGCTGCATTTGGGTGTTATATGGAAAAAACACAAGAAGGACTTTCACCTCCAGGAAGCCTTCTCTGACTCCCCAAAGAGAACTGGGGGCTCCTTCTTCCTGACTCCCATCCCCTGATCATTCCTCAGTCATGGGCAAAGTAGCACAGTGGTTGAGTTACTAAGGTTCTAGAATTGTGCATACCTGGGTTTTAAACCCAGGCTCTACCACCCATTAGACAAGGTACAATAATTAGACAAATTATTTGATGTCTCATCTATAAAAATAGAAATAATAATCATACCTGTATCGATGGGTTGTGTCAAGGTTTAAATGGTAATGTATGTAAAGTATTAAGCATGGTGCCTGAAACACAAGTGTTCAAAAAAAAAATAGAATAATTACTACTACTACTACTACTCAGCACTCTACAGTCTGGTAAAATCTGTGGACATTTGTTTACTGCACCACACTATGGATCTTTGAATATGGACCCTCCCCTAGGTCTGGACATAATCTGTTTAGTATACATGTGGGGAGAGAATGAGTGAGTGAGTCAGGGGTCAAAGGCAAGGTGGAGGCCATTCATTTTAGGTTATCCCCTTGTAATAGGAGACTGGGGTGGGAGGAGGTTTGTAAAGTCCTTCACTTACCAACAAACCTTTATTTAGCAGGAACCCATGCCAGTGACAGGGCTAGGCTGGGGCATTAGGATGCAGAAATAGATGAGATGGGGTTGTGGGTCTCAAAGATGGAAACAGCCAGGGATGAGGAAATGCATTACAGTGGGAGAGGTCTCCTCTCTGAACTCAGCCTCACCACCACCCCCATTATCCCCAACCATCTGCCTCAGGTGGCCTATAGACTGGAGAACCTGGATGTACGGGCCTTTGTACTGAACAGTGAAGTGGAAAAAATGTAAGTGGAATAGTTCCCGTTGGGTCCCTGAATCCTCCATCTTATTCCTCATTTCTTAGCTACTCACTCTGCCTCTCCCACACAGTGGTCGTCCAGTAACACTGACCTCAGGAAAATCCCTTCAACAATGGAGGGTTGTATCGAAGTTCCAGTACCGCCTTTGGGGTCCTGTCATCGACTTCCTCAACACCCGGCTGCTGGATGCAGTGGTGGAGGCATTTTTACTACAGGCCCCGAGAGGGCGTTGGAAGAGAAGTGAGGGGCCCAGGAACAACGTGGTCTTCAACACCATCTCCAGAAGAGATGTGCACAGTTTGAGGGCCTGTGAGTCACTACTATCTTGGGGACAGTCACAGGGATAATTGAGGGAGGAGGTAACTGGAGGGAGGTTGTCACAGATATTCAGCCTACACAAACCCATGGTTAAAAAAAAGTATTCTACTTGCAAGAAGCAAGGGAATTTAGTTTTTTGTTTGTAGTTTTTGAGAAATTGTAAACATTTTACCTTCCAGCTGTCTAGATTTAAGAGCAAAAGCAAAAAACACTACTTCATGAATACTCATATGCGTAGTTTTCCAGAGCAATTACCCCAACTGCTGCTTTCCTAACCTCTGCTGCTAATGGTTTACTTTCCCTTAATAAAATTATTAGTGATTTTTCAGCATTTAAAAAAAGATTTTATTTATTTATTTTTAGAGAGAGGAAAGGGAGGAAGAAAGAAACATCAGTGTGTGGTTGCCTTTCATGCACCCCGTACTGAGGACCTGGCCAGGGACCCAGGCATGTGCCCTGACTGGGAATCAAGCTGGCAACCCTTTGGTTCACAGGCCAGTGCTCCATCCACTGAGCTACACCAGTCATGGATGTTAGTGGTTTTGTTAAAGTACCACTGTACTTTATATACATAAACAAAGACATTCTTTGCCTTGGACCTCCAGCTGGAGGACATTAAGCTGAAGGCTGGGGACCCAGCCCAAGGGCAGAGATACCCCCTCCCTGAAAGGGTGTGTGATCCTTTGCAAAAGCCATACCAAGTCCTGCCCTCAGGTCTCCCATCAAGAAAATGAGATGGGATTTCTGAGGTCCCTTTCAGCCCTGACAGCCCTTTACTGTCCCTGAACAGGGATGAAATAAGTTGACAGCCTTGTCAGAGAAGGAAAAGAATAGCCCAACCTATTTTGGACTGAGACAGAGAACAGGACAGTGACCATGCCAAATCCAACAGAAGCCCTTGTATTACTCAGGTCCAGGACCAAGCAAGAGGTTCTTTTAGAATGTAGGTTAAGCCTCATCCACACATATTCATACTCAAATTACTATGAGTATGTGTGGTAGGGAAGTAGGGTTGGGGGTAAGGGAACAACTACCTCCAGACAAGATTACACCTTTTGTTCAAGAAAACAAACAAAACCCCATGGTGGTTATTACACAAGTACTATATGTTTATTTTATAAACTTTAGGAAATAAAAATTAACAAAAAGAAGAGAAAAAAATCACCAGTATTTCCAGTCCCCAGAGACAAATACATTTTGCACATATCCTTCTGATGTTTCTTTTATGCACAGGCATCTTCACACATATCAAATTTTTTTACAGTAAAGGGTTCAAATTACACCAAAATTTTCACAACCTTATCAAACAATTGTGAACACATTATATTGAATGTTGTGTGCATATTCCCATTTAAAATATTTTTATAATATATTTTAATATGGGGTGATATAATATATTTTAAATAGAATATTATACTAATTGTGACTGTTAATTTAGTACCTACTGTGTCATGTACTATACTGAATACTCTAATATATTATCTGATTTAAACTTTCGCAGCAAGGTAGGTGCTATTAACTTTTTTTTTAAGATAAGGAAACTAAGACTGAAAGAATTAAGAAATTTCACACAACTAGTTAGTAGAAGAGGTTGAATTTCTACTCAGGCCTGGCTGACGCCAAAGCATATGCTCTTAACCAATGCATTTCCTGTACTGGTGCTTAGTGGTTGCATAATATTCCTTATTTAACAAAACTTGTTAAACATTGTTACTATTTAAACCATGCTGCTCTGGACATCCATGAACGTAAGTATTTGTGCACTCTTCCAATTATTTCTAAGGATAAATGGCTAAAATGGAATTCTTGGTTGACAAGGTATAGATTTGGTGTTAACCAATTGCTTTCCGTATTCATCTGTGTCCTACCTAACAGGGAACGTGAGCATACTGCGGACTTACTTAAAGTGCAGTGGCTACAAGGGCTACAAACTGGTCTACAGCCTGCAGGGCGGCTTCACCTGCATGTCCCCCTGCAGCGAGGGCTACTGTGAGCACGGAGGCCAGTGCCAACACCTGCCGGATGGGCCCCACTGCAGGTGAGTGGTGCATGAGGCAGAGGGCAGTGCAGGGGAATCCAAGCTGAGCAAAGACACTGCAAGGGGTCCAGAGAAGTCATGGCACCTGAAAATTATGATGGTTCCCTTTGTAACTGAGAGAATGGGGATGTAAGAGAATAGGGGACAATGGAAGAAAAGGTGTGAACGCCTACTCTGCGTGGAGAATAAAGGTGCTATATTACCTCTGAAACTCAAATTGGCTACTAGGTAAGTATTATGACTTTTAAAGATGAGAAAACTGCAGTTCAGAGATGAGGGCCCTGCCAAGGTACCCAGTAAAGTTAAGTAGCAGGATATGTGTTCCAAAGTCAAATTCTTCCACCTGGTTTTCCTTCTTGGGTGGACATCCTGCTGTCTTCTTGTGGAAAAAAGGAACCCTTTATCTTGTGCCCCTTCTTCAGAGCACCAGGCATCGGAGGCCCTCTCAGACTGGTGCCTTAAGCCCTGTTGCTCCATCAACAGTCTGAGGGGCTCCAGGTGAGGAAAATGCACTAAGTCTGTAGGCCTGGTAAGGAGAAGGGCAGCGCCACCTGGGCGCTCTTGTCACAGCAGCGCCCTCTGCCTACCCTCACTCCACTGCAGCAGCGGACCAGCTTGCCCTCTCTCAAGGAGGCGGGGGATAGAGCTGGGGCATGAGGTAGAGGGTGGAGCGCAGAGCCAAGCTCTCCCCGGGCGAGAGGGGTTTGTGACTGCGCGCGCCCATCTGTGGCCAGCCCCTCACTTCCCCCTGCTTGACTGACGCTGACCCCGAGTGAATGGGCACCGCATCTGCTTTGTTTGCACGGTGGCCGCTCTTCAGCCCCATCTCAGGGCTAACCCGGCCTCCATCCGTAAAGGGGAGCCCAACCTCAGGAATTGAAAACCTCAGGCCCCGCCGCAGGAGAGGGTGGCAAAGCTGAGCGCCGCCCTCCCCACCACTGACCGTGTCCCCTCTCTCTGTCCCCAGCTGTGTGCCCTTCTCCATCTACATGCCCTGGGGCAAGCACTGTGAGCACCTGAGCATGAAACTCGGCGCCTTCTTCGGGATTCTCTTTGGGGCCCTGGGTGCCCTCTTACTACTTGGGGTCATAGCATTTGTGGTCCTGCACTTCTGGCGCTCCAGGGCCCAGTACTCCTACCCCCTGGACTCAGAAAGCTGAAGCCTCGCCCCCCAGGGGGATAACTGTGCCTTCAGATACCTCAAGACCCTCCCCAGCCTCACCTGCATACTTCCAGGCGCCTTTCCTTTGGACAGATTGGAAAAAGGAAGATGACTGAAGGTCATTAAGGATTCTTCAAGGAGAATGAATAATGGGAATGAATAATGATAAAGAGGAGCACATTTATCAGTAGACACAGAGGTGAACTGGAAGAGACTGTAAAGATCTACATAAACCAATGGATTCTCACAAGGAGAACACTGATACACACACACACACACACACAAGAGTGGGGTGATGGCTCCAACTTAAAAACCAAAATGCATTTGCACATAAAACTCTCCAGTTTACATCTAAGTAAAGTCTATTTAAATAAAATCTCTCTGACTTACTGTGTTTGCAGAGCCTTGGGTTCCATTTGTTGTTTTCCTCCATTGGCTAACAGGCCAGGCACAGGGGGTGGAGGAGCAGAGGTGGGTTAGACCCAGTCCTGCTTCAGCCCTCGGTACTCCACATTCCTCCAGCCCAGACTTGGATCCTTGCTTCTCCCTCCACATCACTTTCTTCCCCTCACCCTGACACAAGCCAAAGCCTGGCCCTCTGAAAGACCGTAGCGATACCTCCCATACTTTGTCCTTTCCTGGACTCTAGGCAGAGTCTTCTGAGCTTCTCCACCCCACAGTCACTCTGCCTGCTTGTTCCCAGCAACCAGATCTGTTTCCACCTTATCCTCCTCTCTTTGAGGACAGAACTTTACACCTCCCTTACGTAACAACTCCAACAACTGGTCCGCAACTCCTGTGTCTCTCGAACCTCAGTTCCAACTCTATGCAGAAACTGGGTAACTGCCTCTTGGTCCTAAACACCAAATCCCTGGAGAGATAATCTGATTGGTCCAAATTATGTCAATTGTCCATCTCTGGTCCAATCTAGTGTGGCCCTAGGGTAGGACAGGAGGTCACATGTTACAAACCTGGTGCTCAGGTTCACTCTTGTAGATGAGTGAGTAGTGGCTTGGGAGGAAGTTCCCACAGAAATTTGGTCTTTGATCTGAGCAGTGCTCCAAACTATCTGCTTTAGATAGAGAGTGGCTTCTCCCAGCAGGTCCCTCTCATGTGTACAAAGCTGTAGCTTTAACTTCAAATGCCCCAAAATGTAATCATGTCTCCATATAAAACCACATTCATTTAACCCCAGTATTCATTTATCAATTAAGCACAGAGCCCAAATGGGCTCACTGTGAAGCCTACCAAACATTTCAGGAAGAAATTCTACCAATTCTCTATAATCTCTTTCAGAAGATTGAAGCAGAAGGAATATTTCTTAACTCATTTTATAAGGCTAGCATTATTCCAGTACCAAAGCCATCATACCTAATAAGACATTAATACCTGATAAGATATCATAAGAAAAGACTTCTGGCCAAGACGGAGGTGTAGGTAGACACACTGTGCCCCCTCACATAACCAAAAGGAGGACAAAACTAATTAAAAAAAAACACCCAGAACTAACAGAAAATCAAACTGTGTGAAAGTCCAATAACCAAGGAGTTAAAGAAGCATTTATCCAGACCAGTAGGAGGGCAGAGACCAGTAGCCAGGTGGAAAGGACTTACTGCTGGGCGGTGGCTTTTGGACTGGGTGGTCCCACATTCAAATGCAGATAAACCAGGAGTAACAACTGGGGAGTGAGATAGTCTGTGCAACCAGTATTTCCAGTATGGGGAAATAAAGCCTCAGAGCTTCTGACTGAAAACACCTGTGGGGGTTGAGGTGGCACTGGGAGAAACTCCCAGCCTCACAGGAGCATTTGTTGGAGAGACCCACAAGGTCCTAGAATGTACACAAGCCCACCCACACAGGAATCAGCACCAGAAGGGCCCAATTTGATTGTGGTTAGCGAGGGAAGTGACTGAAAACTGGCAGAGAGCAGAGCAAGTTATGGTGTTCCCTCTCGGACCCCTCCCCCACATACAGTGTCACAACACAGCCATGTGGGTTGCTCTGCCCTGGTGAATACCTAAGTCTCCACCCTTTACTACATAACAGGTGCACTAGGACAAAAAAAATGACCCAAATGAAAGGACAGATCAAAGCTCCAGAAAAATACAACTAAGCAACGAAGAAATAGCCAACCTATCAGATGCACAGTTCAAAACACTGGTAATCAGGATGCTCACAGAATTGGATGAATATGGTCACAAAATACAGGAAAAAATTAAGGCTATGAAAAGTGAAATAAAGGAAAGTGTATAGGGAACCAACAATGACAGGAAGGAAACCAGGACTCAAATCAATGATTTGGACCAGAAGAAAGAAATAAACATTCAACCTGAATAGAATAAAGAAACAAGAATTCAAAAAAAATGAGGAGAGGCCTCAAATAAGGACCTCCAGGACATCTTTAAATGTTCCAACATCCAAGTCATAGAGGTGCCAGAAGGAGAAGAGGAAGAGCAATAAGTAGAAAAGGTATTTGAACAAATAATGAAGGAGAACTTCCCCAATCTGGCAAAGGAAATAGACTTCCAGGAAGTTCAGGAAGCTCAGAGAGTCCCAGAGAACTTGGACCCAAGGAAGCACACACCAAGGCACATCATAATTACATTACCCAAGAATAAAGATAAGGAGAGAATCTTAAAAGCAGCAAGAGAGAAGGAGATAGTTACCGACAAAGGAGTTCCCATAAGACTATCAGGTGATTTCTCAAAAGAAACCTTGCAGGCAAGAAGGGGCTGGAAAGAAGTATTTAAAGTCATGAAAGGCAAGGACCTACATTCAAGATTACTCTATCCAGCAAAGCTATCATTTAGAATGTAAGGGCAGATAAAGTACTTCCCAGATGAGGTCAAGTTAAAGGAGTTCATCATCACCAAGCTCCTATTATATGAAATGTTAAAGGGACTTATCTAAGAAAAAGAAGATAAAAACTATGAACAGTAAAATGACAAGAAACTCACAGCTATTAACAACTGAACCTAAAAACAAGCTAAGCAAACAAGTAGAACAGAAACAGGATCACAGAAATGGAGATCCCATGGAGGGATATCAGCAGAGGAGTGAAAGGGGGAGAGAAGGGGAAAGGTACAGAGAATAAGTAGCATAAATGGTAGGTACAAAATAGACAGGGGGAGGTTAAGAATAGTATAGGAAATGGAGAAGCCAAAGAACTTATATGTATGACCCATGGACATGAACTAAGGTGGAGGAATGCAGGTGGGAGGGGTGTGCAGGGCAGAGAGGAATAAAGGGGAGAAATAGGACAACTGTAATAGCATAATAAATAAAATATATTTTAAATGAAGGCATCATAAGAAAAGAAAACTATGCACCAATAGCTCTCATGAATATAGATGCAAAAACTCCTCTACAAAATATTACCAAATCAACTCTAACAATGAATAGAAAGAATTACACACCACAACCAAACAGTATTTATCCTAGGTATGCAAGCCTGCCTGGTTCAACACACAAAAAAAAACAATTAATGTAATCTGTCACATCAAATGACTAAAGAAGAAAATCATATGATCACATCAACAAGTACAAGAAAAGGCATTTAACAAAATCAAATGTCAATTTATGATCAAAACTCTCAGCAAACTAGGAATAGAAGGGATCTTCCTCAGGCTGATAAAAATAAATATGGATGGTGTTATACGGGTTCAAGACTCATGGGGTGAGCAGGCTATAAGTTATATAAATGTCTAATTATTATGTTGTACACCTGAAACTAATATATTGTATGTCAACTGTAATTGAAACATTAAATTTAAATCTACAAAAAACCTAAAGCTATTATCATACTTAATAGTGAGAAACTCAGAACTTTTCAGTTAAGATTAGGAACAAAGCAAGGATGTCCCTTTCCAACCTAGTATGCTGTTGAAAAGCAAAATCTGAATTGCTTTTCAACATCATACTGGGAGTCCTAATTAAGTCACATACCAAAAGGAGGGGGGATAAAAGATATACAGATTGGGGAGGAAAAAAAATGTCATTGTTCACAGATGACATGATCATCGATGCAGAAAATCTGAAACTAATAGTGATTTTGGCAAGGTTGTAGGATACAAGGTTAATGTATGGAAGTCAATTGCTCTCTTATGTAACAGCAATGAATAAATGGAATTTGAAATTACACATTACCACTTACATTAGCAAATCCCAGACTGAAATACTTAGGAATAAATCTAACAAAATATTTATATCTATATAAAGAAAAACTACAAAACTGGTGAAAGATGTCAAAGAACTAAATAAATGGAGATATATTCTATGTTCATGGATAGAAAGACTCAATATTGTTCAATATTGTTTAGATGTTAGTTCTTCCCAACCTGATTTACAGATTCAGTGCAATCCCAATCAAAATCTCAGCAAGACTTTTCATAGATATTGACATACTGGTTCTAAAATTTATTTGGAGTGTGAAAAGATCCAGAATAACCAATTCAATATTGAAGAAGAACAAAGTTAGAGGACTGATGCTACTCAATATCAAGGCTTACTCTAAATATTTTATAAGCTGCAGTAATCAAGACAATGTGGTATTGGCAAAAATATATATATACACAAATAGATCAATGGAACAGACTAGAAAGCCCCAAATTAGACCCACATAGATGTAATGAACTGATCTTTGATGAAGGAGCAAAGGCAACACAATGAACAAAGGTAGGCTTTTCAACAAATGGTATCAGAATAACTGAACATCTTCATGCAAGAAAATGAATCTGGGCACAGATCTTACAGTTTTTATAAAAATTAACTCAAAATGGATCATAGAACAAAGTATAAAACACAAAACACAGGTTATAGACCTAAATTTAAAACTCCTAAAAGATAACATAGGAGAAAATGTAGATGACCTTGGGAATGGTGATGACTTTTCAGATACAACAATAAAGATATGATCCATGAAAGAAAAAACTGATAAGCTGGACTTCATTAAAATTAAAAGCTTCTGCTTTGTGACAGACAATGTCAGGAGAATGAGAAAACAAGGCACAAAAAACACAGCTGATAAAGGACCTATTAGAATGCTCAAAATATACAAAGGACACTTAAAACTAAACAGTAAGAAAATGAACAATCTGATTAAAAAATAGGCAGAAGACCTGAACATAGATCTCATCAAATAAGATATAACACGGCAAATAAGGATATGAAAAGATGTTCAACATCACATGTCATTAGGAAGTTGCAAATTAAAACAACAAGATACCAATACATACCTGTTAGAATACTCAAAATCCAGAACACTGGCAACACCAAATGCTGGTAAGGACATGGAACAAAAGGAATTCTCATTTGTTGTTGGTGGGAATGCAAAATGGTGCAGCCACTTTGGAAGACATTTTGACATATAGGAGACTGTTCTGTGTGGTGTGGGCCCAGCTCCC